TTAGAAAAAGGTTTTAGAGTAGCCTTGTCAGTTTTTAATTTTTAGATCTAAGAGCCTGTTCCCAATAGGGTAGAGTCCCTAGGACTGGCCAGTGATCAGGGCCCTCTGTAGGGTAGCCAGTGGGCAGGGTGATGGGGGGTTCTGCTGGCACCCACCTTGGCTAATGGCCTGGTGCCACCCACTGGCCGGCTCCACCCTCTGCCAGCAGATGCTCAATGCAAGAGCTGTCCCCAATTAGAGGCAGTTCCTGCATTGAGTAGTCAGTGCACATAATAGCAAATGGTCATTCTGTTTAGTCAATTTGCATATTAGTGTTTTATTATATAGGGTGGTTTTTAGTGTAATTACAAAGTTGTGCAACCATCACCGTAGTCTAATTTTAGCACATTTTTATCACCTCGAAAGAAATAACATGACTGTTAGGCACTGTTTTGCTATACTTCTCACTACCCTGTGCTTCTTCCAATCTCCATCAATCACTGATCTGCTTTCTGTCTCTAAATTTGCCTATTTTGGATATTTCATGTATTTAGTATCATAAATCATGTAGTCCTTTGTGACTGGCTTTTTTCACTTAGCATGTTTTAAAGGTTCATCCATGTATCAGGACTTAATTTCTTTTTATTGCTGAATATTTCATTGAATGGATACACTATGTTTTGTTTATCCATTCATCAGTTGATGAATAATTAGATTGTTTTCATTTTGGGGGCCATAATGAATACTGCTGTTATGACCATTTGCCTATAATGTTTTTGTATGGATATATACTTTCATTTCTCTTCAGTATATACCTAAGAGTGGTATTTCTGGGTCATATGGTAACTCTGTATAACTTCTTAAGAAACTGATAAACATTTCCCAAAGCAGCCATATCATTTTACTTTCCCCCTGGCAATGTATAAGGGTTCCATTTTTTCCACATTCCCATCAACATTTATTATTGTCTTTTTTATTACAGTCATTGTAGTGGTATCTCATTGTGGTTTTCATTTGCATTTCTGTGAAGAATAATGATGTTGAACATCTTTTCATGTTCCTGTTAACAATCATACATCATCTTTGGAGAAATATCTTTTCAAATTCTTTACCCATTTTTTAGTTGTGTTGTTTATTAAGTTGTAAGAATGATTTTTCATATTTTGCATACAAGTCCTTATTGGATATGTGATTTATAGATTTTTAAGTCTTTGAGTTGTCTTTCACTTTCTTGATACAGCTATCTTTAGAAGCATGCAATTTTTAAATTTTCATGAAGTCCAACTTACCAATCTTCTGCGACTTGTGCATTTGATGGCTTTAGAAATCATTGCCTAATCCAAGGTCACTAGGACTTAGTGCTGTGTTTTTCTCTAAGAGTTTTATAGTTTTAGCTCTTACATTTAGGTCTATGACCCACTTTGAGTTAATCTTTGTGGTATGAGGTACAGGGTCCAAATGTACTTATTTTTTTCATGTGGATATTCAGTTGTCACAGCTGAATTTGTTGAATCTCATCAAACTTGAATTAGAAAATTTATTTTATAGTAAATTTATAAGTACATAATTTAAAAATATTCACTAAACTACATTGCTTCATTAGAAAGATGGGGATATATTTCATGTATATTTCTTGGGGGGTATGCATGGTTTTAAAAATAATTAGAGTGCAATTTTGATCAAAAGTCTTCCCAAATTATGTGTTCACTGTCATACTTCTAGAACACAGGCATGCTGGTATGTCCAGAGAAGAGAATAGCTATTGTATTAAGGATTTAATAAGCACTTACAACATAATTTAAGTGGGAAGTAGCTTTGGACCATTTCTTTGTTTCATTTACATGATTCATATTGAATTCAATTGAATCTTTGGTTCAATAATACTTGAGATTTAGCATTAACTGATCCCAATAAAAGGTAATTTGTGGTTTACTTCCAAAACAACAAATAACAACAAAAAGAAAGGTGGAAGTTGGGGTGGGCGAGTGGGGAGTGTAAGCCTTTTTAAGTAATAGAACAAACTCCCTAAAGTTCATGATGGGAATGGATTGACAGTAAGGCATTTGATAGTCAGTGGGTTTATATAGATTTGACTCCGCCTTAAATGACAAACAATAGTAACAAAAATTATAAAAACCAATGTAAAATTCTCTATAAATAGCATGCATTACTAATCAAGAACATTTTGGGGGCAAATGGTCATATATTTAAGTTTTTTTAAAAATTAAATCAGAATTATAAGTGGTGCTTTTCTTAGATAATGTAATAGAATATATGAGTGTTCTATTGCTGCATAACAAAGCACTCCCAAGCTCAGTGTCTTAAAAAGGCACCATAATTTGTTTTGCTCCCAAATCTTTAATTTGAATAGGCCTCAAGACTTGTTTCTGCTTTATGCAGTGTCACTTATGTGGCTTGATTGAGCGGGGGGAGAGTAATGAAGAGGGAGGTCAGAGAACCCACTTTCAGCATGATGCATACCTAGGAAATTGGCTGGGGGTCTGGGTTCTTCTCCATATAGTCCTCTTCACTGCCACTTGGGCTTTCTCACATGTGGTAGCTGGGTTCTAAGAAAACAAGGTAAACGGTTGTGGCATTTCCATGACCTGTTGCAGAAGTCACCCATAGTCACTTCTGCTATACTTATTAATAGAGACTGTTACAAAGCCCACCCAGTTTCAAGGGTAGGAGACAGGAATTCTTATCATGTTGAGGCCATTTTTGAAAAATTTAATCTACCACAACTATATAATATTACTAAGAAGTCCTTTGGAAAAATAATTTTTAATATTCAGAAATTAATAGGGGAAAGCTAAAAGTAAATTAAAGTATCACCTGAATAAGAAACTAAATTTCTTTCTATTTAGTTCTCAATAGTTTATTTTCAACTGATTCTATTAAAATTTCTGAAACTTTGGGTAATCTCAATGTATAGTTAATTCAGTTGTGCAAATAAAGGGGGAAATCCCAACATGAATTATGTAGGTATCAAAATGCAGTTATTCTCAGATATATACAAAAGATATGCATTGAGTCAAAGGTTCACAAAACCACATAGTTTGGTGATTTACTTGGTGGACTTATAAGACACTGAGTATGCCCAGAGCTATGATATATTACCGCAAACTCAGCAAAGGTAGAAAGCACATGGGGCAGAATCGGAGGAAACCAGGCACAAGCTTCCAAGAGTCTTCTTCCGGTGGAGTAATTCAGCATGTGCAGCACATGTGATGGTTGTTTATCAGGGAAGTTCATCCGAGATTCAAAACGCAAGATGCTATATGTTTGCTTTTTCAACACCCAAGGTTTTTATTGGAGGTTTGTCACATAAGCTCTATTTTGCATTTACCAAGATTCCAGACTTCCAGAACGAAAGCAAGTGTTCAAAATAAACAGTATTGTTTAGGCAACAGTCAGCTACCCTTATCAGTTAGGGTAGTGGAAACCCTCCTGAAACAGAATTTCCTTGACACCAGCCAAAACAACTAGACAAGCAGGCTTTTCTAAGGATAGCTATTTTTGGCTAGCATTGTTAATTCTTTTCTGTACATACACTTAAAAAATTTATTAAAAAGCATCCTCAAATTTTCAAATTGCTCTTGTTTCACCCTTCCATATGTAGATTTCTGAGTAAGCTCAGTAATTAAAAAATAAAAGTTATCAATAAATAAAATAAAACTTGGCCATTATTTTTAAAACTAAGACCAAATATTAGTTTCTGTTAACACTTGAAAACTTCCTGATTATATGAAGTTAAAACTCGCATTAGTTTTATTTAAAGTTTAAATATGCTGTCTGAGTAAAAACAATAATGGGTAGTTAACTTTCCACCACTGTCACCCCCAAATACCTAAGGATTAAGATACTATCTACTGCCCTAGCTGGTTTGGCTAGTGGATAGAGCATCAGCTTGTGGACTGAAGGGTCCCAGGTCGATTCTGGTCAAGGGCACATGCCCAGGTTCCAGGCTTGATCCCCAGTAGGGGGCATGCAAGAGGCAGCTGATCCATTATTCTCATCAGTGATATTTCTCTCTCCTTCTCCCCTCCTCTCTGAAATCAATAAAAATATATTTTTAAAAAAAGGTAGTACCTACCTTATAGAGTTGATGGAATAAATGAGTTAGCTCCTATATCATCATTTCCATGAATATAATGATTATGTTTACTGAAAGCAAAATCAGTAATCTATTTAGAAAAGTATAATTGTTGGGCCAGCAGTCCGAATATGGGAAATGGTGTCTAGTCTGTTTTTAAGGGTACACGATTGTCATACCTTTAAAGTACAATAAAAAATTAAAAAGTACAGTTAGAGTTTGGGGCATTTACTATAAAATTGAACCCAGAAATATTGTCTTCAATCCTAAATTAGCATATCTACATTTAATCATTGGTACCAAGGAGAATATACAGTTCAATAGGATATTTCTACAATGATCTTAATTAAATGCTTACAAGGAAAAATAATTGCCTTGCTGTTGGTGTTGATTATTGTGTAGCCAGTGATAAAATTATGTTTGGTTAGGAATGTACAAATGGAATTAAAATCTTAGTGGAAGCAAAAAAGTAGTTTTCTAACATTGTTCATTACCTGATAAAATAAGCTTACTTACCGTATTTTTCGGACCATAAGACGCTCCGGACCATAAGACGCACCAGTTTTTAGAGAAGGGAAATGAAGAAAAAAAGATTCTGAAACAAATAGTGTCCTAAAATATTTTATGTTCACAGTCATAAACACATGTAATCAACCCTGTAAAGTAAACAGCAGCATTTAGAACCATTTTAGAGCCGGGCAAGCACACAGAGACCACACAGAGCCGGGCAAGTAAAAAAACTTTTTTTTTTTAAGTATATGTGTAGGCTATATGTGGACCATAATACGCAGGGACTTTTTTCCCCCTCTTCTGGGGGGAAAAGAGTGCGTCTTATGGTCCGAAAAATACGGTAATAGGGAAGAAAATACACAGGAGTTGCTTAAATGAGAGAATGAAGTTAATATTTTTAACATTTCTCCTTAAGGACCAGTGTAATTCGGAGAAGCACGCAGATGGAATTATAGTAAGTTTAATCTAATCTTTGTTTCCCTTTAATTCTGCAGAGCATTATAACCAGTTATGTCAGGAGAAGCCTGAATTTCTTCTTCTTTTTCAACGCAAATTCTTCTTTTCACCTACTCATTGCTTTTTGTTGTTGACTCTTGCAATTTTCCTTGAGCTCCTAAAGTTGCCCATCTTTCAGCAATCATTTGGAGGGGAAACGTTGATCTTAAAATTTTTCTAAATGTCGGTCCAGATTGAATCACTTTGCATGTGTTAACTTGAAGGATTAATCATGGTATGAATATGCATCTTTTATGACTAAATAAGGCATAACTCACAATGCTGCATTTCTAGTCAACTTTGTTCTCAAATGAAAGCAGAGGGGGAAGGGTATATTGAGACACATCTTAATCTATTTAAATATGTTTATAGATTTATTTTCTCATCTGTGTGTGTGTGTGTGTGTGTGTGTTAACTAGCATTGATACTGTGGTATTATTGCTTTTTTGTTGGCACATAAACTTTTTGATTTACAGACATCTTTCCTCCTCCTTGGTTTATTTTTTTACTCTTCCCTTATGTTCAACTTCCTCTCTATAAAGAAAAGAAAATGTTATTGTTTCCAGCTGGAAATAAAAATTAGAGATTAAAGGTTTGTAGTTTGAGCTACCCTAGTTTTATGGTAACTCAGTGACTTCTGTTCAGACTGTGTTTCTGAAGCAGTCTTTTCTTTGTCTTAAGACTTGACAAATGACACTTGTCTGAAATCTGGAATCTTCAAAGCCATCTCATGATTATACTTAAAAAGATGTTTTCTTTATATTTGGGTTAAAATGAAAAAAAAAACAACACTTAAATATCCATGATGTTTGCATATTTTTAAGAAAGCAAAGATAAAAGAAATATTTTTAAAATTTGAATTAAACACATTAGAATTTTTATTTCTCTTTTCACAATGTGAGTTCAAAGTTTGAATCATGATGCTATAATACAATTACGTGGTATAAATGCAATGTAATATAATCTTTCTTCCTGAGATCAAATAAGTTTGTAAGCCTCATGGAAAAAGACTGTATATGTTGTCTAGCATTTCATGGTCCCCAAAGACCCTAAGGAAAATCATATTGTCAATTGCTTTATCTCTTTTCCCTCTAACCAAAACTAGTTACTTTTGATTATGTTAAAAAATAGTTTTAGAAAGCATTCAAAAAATGTTTGATCATTTGCAATTAAAACACCTAGATTCCCTAACTATAGGAAATCTAAACTTGCAGAAAACAAACATTTAAATCATTTGTTTGGGGATGATTGCATTTTTCCTTGAGTTTTTATTTTTAAGAAAGAAAGGATTTAGGGCCTTGGACCTAGACTGCTAGGACCTAGCCTTGCCATTCACTAGCTGTGACCTTAGACAAGTTACTTAACCTTAGAGTTTTAGTTTCCTCTGGAAGAAAAGTTATTAGTTCTACCTCAGAAGGTTTATAAGGTGCAGACTGAGCTCACAGTACCCCATAGTGTTAGTTATACGTACATTTATGTATATATAATTATATATTGCATGAGTTTGTTAATGTCACAAGAGATTAGGGCTATAGATTATCATTTGTTTACATTTCTCACACTCGGCAAATTCATTTGAAAGCAAGTTGTAGAATGTAAGTTGACATATTTTAGCTTGAAGTTGATTGACTAATTACTTTTATTGTTCCCATCCCACCCCAGGCCTTCACTGAACTGTTCTCTGTGTCCCTGGGCTTAGTGTAGCCTTTTCTAAGTGGTGGATCTAAGCCTTACTCTGGCAGAGACCTTTGTTTGAAATCCTCAATTTCTTCATGTAAAAATGCACCAGTAAGCTATGGAGTCTTGTTTTTAAAATGTTATACTGCAGAATAATTTCTTGGTTTGGAATCAGAGAAACCTGAACTTTTTCTCTCTCCAAAAATCATAACTATGTGTTTATGTTTTTCAAATCCTAAAAAAAAAAAATCTTCCCACACACACTCATTTCAAATAGACGATACATCTCTTTGCCTTGAGTGATTGTAAAACTATGTGCCTGTGTATGCAGTAGACAGTGATAGGAGGGAGGTGGCAGCAGTATGGAATGGAAAGAAAAGATCCTCTGGTGCTGGTACATTAGCTAGACATAGGTGTAATACTTTCTAACACCAAAGCAAGAGAGCATTTCTCTTTAGCAGATAGAGAAACAATGTTTGTGGTGAATTTAAAATTTGAGAAGCACTGAATTCAATTGAATTGAGAGGTTATTGTTTTGGCTTCCTGAAATCTTGCCACACCATTATATAACTCTTACCAAGTTTTTCCATTTAGCTTTACCTTCCTATAATACAGAAATTCATTCGTTCATTTTTCCTCCTTACTATTGCTTTTAAAATAATAATAATAATAATAATAATAATAATAATAATGAGAAACTTAAACTTATGCATAGAAAAGCTGTTTCATCTCCTCTTTGTATTTTCATCGGCCTATCTATATAGCTACCTTCAGGACTTTGCTGTCAGAAATATGGGCAATTTCATACATTTGGGAGGGTCAGTGTTGAAAGGGCATTTAATTAAAAATAACTATAATGTGTTTCTTTATCTCAGAGTACTATTAATCCTGTAGATGCAATATATCAACCTAGTCCCTTGGAACCTGTGATCAACACAATGCCTTCCCAGTCTGTCTTACCTCCAGGTATAGTATTTGGAAAAATGTTTCACAGACTCGTTGCTGAGAAAAAACATAATTTGTATGACTGTTGTAGTAATCTTTGAGGGCTCTTTCTTTTTCTTTTAATAAATAAAAATAAAAACATACAGCCGAAAATGAACTGGAAAATGATAGTATTTTAAATATTGGGGCTTTTTACGTACAATGAAAGGGCTTTCGGTTTTCAGAGTGAGATGGAAAATAGACATGGTTAGTAAGACCTGGATTAGCTGATGGGACAGAATGCTATGACTCAGGATTTATGGCCACCAAGGGAACTAATATACCTTGATCTGCTTGAAGGCAATCCAGGAATATTCTATTTTGGGATATTCTTTATAGCTTTGAATAATACAAATGGTTTCTTTGTGGTGAGCTTTAAGATAATGAGAAAGGGAAGAATAAAATTTGTTATGTCTACCAATTAAATAGACTTGTGTTTTTTAAGTATAGAGTAATAAGTAGTGTTACCAGCTAAATTGATTTCTTTGACTTTTTTGTTACATCCAATATAACTCTGTTCTTTTTTTAAAAAAATCCTCACCTGAGGATATTTTTCCATTGATTTTTTTAGAGAAAGTGGAAGAGAGAGGGAAAGACAGAGAGAAATATTGATGTGAGAATAACAATCGATTGGTTGCCTCCTGCATGAGCCCAACCAGACCCCCGGGCCAGGGTGGAGCCTGCAACCCAGACATATGCCCTTAACCAGAATTGAACCCGGGACCCTTCCATCCACAGGCTGATGTTCCACTGAGCCAAACCAGCTAGGGCGTAATCGTGTTCTTAATAATGACATGGTTCAGTCAGAGATGGTAGTGGAAAAAATAAATGACTTTTTAAAAACTACTTATGAGTATGTGAAATCTTTTTCTGAATGTTTATATGTCCTTAAGAGAATGAGATAACATCTCTCATGGACTAAAAAGGAGATAACCTGCCCCCAGATATTATATGGTTTGATGCTTGGAAACACTTTATCATCAGAAGTGTTTGATGTTTTTACAGAGCAGTTGTACTGAGATACTGGCCTATCAGGACTAGTGTCTTGAGTTTAAAGGGGATGGGATGTCAGAGAGGAGTAGAATGGAAGTTGACTTAATAGAATATAGTTTTAGAAATTGCTGATCTTTGGGCTTATGAATCCCACACAATTCCAGTTAACAGAGTTATGTTTAGGCTATTTCTCTAATTTATTTCACATGTTCAAATCTCCTAGAATCTGCTCAGTTGTGTAAATCAGAGCAGCGTCCATCTTCCCTACCAGTTGGACCTGTATTAGCTACCTTGGGACATCATCAGACTCCAACACCAAATAGTACAGGTACAGATTTATATAATTCCTTTACTTCTTATAACTCCCCGTTTACATTTAAGATTTGTATTTGCTTACTAATGGGGAAAGGCTGAAGAAATGTGTTGTATCTTTCTGTTGGAGATAACATATCTTTGCTATTACAGTTCTGTACATAAAGTACTTTATGATTTAACCAGAAGCTTTAGTAAAATTAAAATTTAAAGTAGAATATTAAAGGATTTTGTTTTTTTTGTTTACTGTATGGTTTATTTGACTCTTGAAAACTACTCAAGTTAGACTGAATACTTTCTCAGTAATCAGAAAATATGAAGCATAGAGAACAAAAGCTGAAAATCTTTACTCTGTCATTTGTGTACGTGTGTATACATATACCTATGCTTTGTATTTTTATTATTATTTTTTTTTAACCTAAATGAGATCTTGTGTTTCTGTGACTTTCTTTTTTCATTTAACAGAGAACATTTAGAGAGCTTTTCATTTTCATACAGTTCTAACATTCTTTTTACAGCTACCTAAATAGGTATTAGCTCTTTTTCCACTGATGGACATTTAGGTTATTTCCAATATTTTCTTACTATTAGCAAAATTTAAGTGAAATATCCTTGTATAACAACTTTAAGCATGAATGGTCAAAAAAGGGGCTACATACCAAATCTGACAATATTAGGGGAGGATTGCATGGTGGGCTTACAAACTCAGACCAAGAGTAAAACCACAGGATGCTCTGAACATAAAAATTCCTAATTAGAAGTGAGTCATGTCAGGTGATCACATCTTAGGCCTGTAGCTTTCTTGACAAAGGTCAACCTTTACCTTAAAATAAGCCTGTTACTGTCTTTTGGCATCTAAGATAACATACCCTTGGAATGTCAGAGTAATTTTCTATATCTGAACTCCACAGACTACACACCCACCACAGCAGAGCAGAGACCACAAAACTCATTGTTACTTTGTTCCTCCCACACCATCTCCATGTGCCATAAATGTTAATTATTAGCTATCTTGAACGTAAAAGAAGTATTTCTCCAGAGATTTCCCCACTTTTTTTTCCCCCGCCTGCCTAATCTATACCACTAGTGGGTCTCATATAACCCTCCCTATGTCATCTTTGATTCTAATGTATAAATAAGCTGCAAAGCTGCGATTCCTTGGAGGATTTTCTCAATAAATTTATATTTTACTTTCGTGCACTTGTTGTCAGTGCGGTTCAAATAAACTCAAAAAATTCTCTGCAGTTTGAGATTCTTAAATTTACATATGTGTGGGTGTTGTTTTGTTGTTGTTGTTTAGGATTTATCAATCATATTTTTACCAATTTTATAGACAAAAAGGGATACTTTATTTTAGTTTGCATGTTCTTAATTCATTTAGACTTCTAGTATGGTAACTATTTTATCTCTAATTTACAGGAATGCTATCAGTATTAGTATTAGATTTAGTCCTTGTTTCATTTAGACTTATAGTCATTATTTTATCTCTAATTTACAGGAATGCTATCAATGTTAGTATTAGATTTAGTCCTTGTTTTAAAATGAAATCGATATATGTTGAGGGACCTGCCAGTCATACTCAAGGAGTCACTTAGTACTTTTGTCTCTGTTGCACCCGGAGGCCAAACCACTCTTGAGAAGATAGAGATGAGCTCACAGATTTCTTTCCTGGGCAATACTCTCACCGCGTGATAATGAAAAATTTCCTTGTGCTTTTAGCCTATTTTGAAATTTGAATTAGAAAAGGTGCTGGTACTATTACTTCGGTTTTTAATATTTACTAGCAGAGGTTTCTGAATTTTGAAAGAAAGAAAGCAACAATAGATTTATTTGAAGCTCTTGGGGAAATACTGATAAGCAATTTGAATAATGAGGTTGAATGTTTTATTTGACTTTTTCTGTATTTCATTATCAGTGCCAAAGTCTCGTTCACTTTTTTTAAGAAATCCTCACCGAAGCATATGTTTCTTAATTTCAGAGAGAGAGAAAGAGAGAGAGAGAGAGAGAGAGAGAGAGAGGGAAACATAAATCGGTTGCCCCCCGTGCATGCCCAGGATTAAACCTGAAATTTAGGTATGTGCCCTGATCAGAATCAAACCTGAAACCTTTTGGTGTATAGAACAACGCTCTAACCAACTGAGCCACCAACCCAGGGCAACCTCATGCTCATTTTAAAAACTACCTGTGTGCTATGTTGTTGATTATGTCAGAATGTTAAAACCACAGCCAAAATTTGCCCTTTTTGGAGATATAAACTAGTTAGAAACTTTGAAAAAATGAGTTCTCTTTCTTATGTATGTTTACTTTAAGATAATTAATTATAAGTAGTAATAATTTAGGATAAATTATTTCAGAGGAAGATATTCTAAACATATCTTTGAGTTGGTGTATTTAAAGAAATTTTAAATTTAAATTAGTATCTAATTTAAGTCTTTTTTATTTCAGCCTAATTTCTTCATTTTTTTTTTCATCTTTCTTTCCTTTACCTCTTTTACTAATACAAAAAAGAAATATGGAACAATTGGGAAAACAAATATTATCCTTTTCTTTCATAAGGAAAACTCAGTTCTTTCGTTTGCAGTTCCCATTCAAACTCATTTTCTTCTTGGACACATTTTACCTGGAGTAATTACCTCGAGTATTTGCATTTTAATCATTTTAATTCCTGGTCTTTTTTTGTTGTTGGGATAAAGTTTCTCATCTTATTGCTCTCTGTTGGGGAGGCGGGTAGGGAGAGAGAATTAAAAGATTTGCTAAGAGGAACTATCTTTGGCATTTCCACAATAAGTATCACTGCCTTTTTAGTTGGCAAACATTTGTGTTATGTTTTGTTGTTTTTTTTTGTTTTTTAATATATTTTATTGATTTTTTACAGAGAGGAAGGGAGAGAGAGATAGAGAGTTAGAAACATCTATGAGAGAGAGTCATTGATCAGCTGCCTCTTGCACGCCCCCTACCGGGGACGTGCCGGCAACCCAGGTACATGCCCTTGACCAGAATCGAACCCGGGACCCCTCAGTCTGCAGGCCTACGCTCTATCCACTGGGCCAAACCGGTTTTGGCCATTTATGTTATGTTGTTTTTTTTTTGTTTGTTTTTTTTAATATATATTTTATTGATTTTTTTACAGAGAGGAAGGGGGAGAGAGAGAGAGCCAGAAACATCGATGAGAGAGAAACATCGACCAGCCGCCTCCTGCACATCCCCCATTGGGGATGCGCCCGCAGCCAACGTACATGCCCTTGACCGGAATCGAACCTGGGACCCTTCAGTCCGCAGACCGACGCTCTACCACTGAGCCAAACCGGTTTCGGCTTGTATTATGTTTTTAAAGTATCTTTGTAAACAAGGCAGCTGAAGTGGCATGGGGATGTGCTCTAACTATTGGGAATAGACTAAACATGCATGTGTGGCTCTGGATTCATTTTTATTGCTGCTGCTCTCAATTTTTTCTAGAACTATAGCCTTGGCTTTTAGATGGCTGTCAGTGACTTAAATTTAATTTCCACCAGGCACCTGTAGCCGTTTGGCATAAATTGCCTAATAGCCTTTATTGACTGATTGGTTGATTTCAGAGAGGAAGGGAGAGGAGAGATAGAAACATCAATGATGAGAGAAAGAATCATTGATTGGCTGCCTCCTGCCCGCCTCCTACTGGGGATCAAGCCCGAAACCCAGGCATGTGCCCTTGACTGGAATCAAACCTTGGGGCCCTTCAGTCTGCAGGCCAACACTATATAATGAGCCACATCGGCTAGGGCGCCTGATAGTCTTTAGGTGCTCAATAAACCTTTGTTGAGTTTATCTCAGGTCTTCATTGCGCCTATTGATACTTTTATGGCTTATTACTTTATTACCAGACAATGAAGCAGATGGTCAACACAAAGACAGATGTCTGTTAATTTCCGTTTTCTTATTTGAACTTTGGAAGAATAGACAGATGCTCCTCCTGGTCTCTTCCTTTTCTCCATTCTTTCCATAGTAGCCCTGTGTTTTTCTCTGCCCCTGAACCCCAGGCACCTTAGACTCAGGTGGAAAAGAGGTGAGGAGTTTGGATGGTGAGTGGAGAACTTTGTTGTTTTCACGTGCCCACTAAACATTGACTAGAAAAGAATGTGATATTCTGAACACTTTTTAAAATACTTACGTGGTTTTTAATATTTTTTCCATTTTGCATTCTTATTGGCTCAGTGCTGCATTTTTTTAGGTTCTGGATCTACTATCTATAATAATAAAAGCCGGGGCTGTGAGGGCCGAGGCAGCTGCCCTGCCACGGCTGCGAGGGCCTAGCCCTGAGCCCCTTGCATGAATTTCATGCATCAGTCCTCTAGTATAAAATAAGAGCCCCTGGCTTCCCTTTGGGGCTGGGTCTCTGTGATGGGACTTCCAATATCACAGCTCACACATTGTAGTTAAAATCAGAAGACTCCCTTCCTAATATCACTAGTAAAGATAATTATAGAATGGGGACAGCGTTTTTTTTCTTCGTTTATTTAAAAGACTGTGTCCCACCGTGACTCCATGGTTGAGCTGGTTGGAGTGTTGGCCCGACAGGTTGGGGTTCAGTTCCTGATCAGGGCACATCCCTAGGTTGCAGGTTTGATGGGGGACGAGTATAGGATGCAACTGACTGATGTTTCCTTCTTAAATCGATGAGAATTCTCTCTCTCTTTTCCTCTCTAAAATCAATAAAAATGTATCCTCGGGTGAGGATTTAAAAAAGCTAAAAAAAAAAAAAAATCCAAAAACCACCTTATTTTATAATGTAATTTGCCTTTTTGTCTAAATATTAATTTTCTTTACAAATAGTATAAGGACTTCTACCAATTTAAGCTCTCTTAATTTTAGAAAGATCTGCATTCATCCCATCTTCCTAATTTCTTCCTCTTTATGACCAACTTTGTCCCCTAATTAAAAACTTTTTAACTTTCTAGGCAGTGGGCACTCACCACCTAGTAGCAGTCTCACTTCTCCAAGCCATGTCAACTTGTCTCCAAATACAGTCCCGGAGTTCTCTTATTCTAGCAGTGAAGATGAATTCTATGATGCTGATGAATTTCATCAAAGTGGCTCATCCCCAAAGCGCTTGATAGAGTAAGTGGATGAACTAAGTATGTGTTTAAACAACTCTCTTGGTTTTTAAAAGTGTAATTTCATTTTGAGACTGGTTTTAATGACAGGCTCCCTTAAAAATTATTCGGAAAAAGTAAGAAAGACAGTTTTGTTTTTTTAATTGACTTATTGAAGAAAGCCTGTTCTATGAGAATGCTGATTTTACTCCTCACTTAATTCAAATGGGATAAATTAGCATCAGCTGCAGTAATATGCCAGTATTGTTCATGGAACTCTGGGCACTATTTCTCTAGCACCAACATTAGGAAAGGGTCAAATGAGAATGAATAAACTAGGAAATATATACAAACCTCAGTGCACAAACCTAATTTGTTCCAGAGGCTGTTCTAAAAGAGATTTGCTCAAAAACCGGAACATTTTCTCCCATTAGAAGCAACGTAAATTCACTTACCGTATTTTTCGGACCATAAGACGCTCCGGACCATAAGACGCACCAGTTTTTAGAGAAGGGAAATGAAGAAAAAAAGATTCTGAAACAAATAGTGTCCTAAAATATTTTATGTGCATTAAAACCCAACATCACAGTCATAAACACATGTAATCAACCCTGTAAAGTAAACAGCAGCATTTAGAACCATTTTAGAGCCGGGCAAGCACACAGAGACCACACAGAGCCAGGCAAGTAAAAAACCTTTTTTTTTAAAGTATATGTGTAGGCTATATAGGGACCATAAGACGCAGGGACTTTTCCCCCCACTTCTGGGGGGGGGAAAAGTGCATCTTATGGTCCGAAAAATACGGTAATCTGTTCCAGACCCACAAGTGATTCTCTGTTTTAACCTTTTTTATGTACAGTCCATGTCCAATGAATTATTTAATTTATAAACACTTATCGTGTTAGCCTTGAACGAATTTTTCATATATGTATCACTGCCTCCGAAATGCTGTCACTGGCTAACTCCTTTTTTATTTTTTCCCCCAAATCCATACCTATTCAACTGCCTGTGGTGGTTGTTTTGTGAGCACTTTCACACCCGTAGCAACATTAACACTCTTTTAATGGCCTCTTCGTCTTTTAAAATTGTGCTAATGGGGTATTTCCAGCAACAAAATCATTTCTCCTTTGTCATGCTGAGATATCAGCATGAAAGGGTTGTCGGGTCAAAAACTGCAGTTTTGGACAACCGAGACATTTTTTTCCTGTGAATAACTTGGGCAAAAGATGGGAAATGTTTTGAGAACTGAGGTGTGACTGTACTTGTTTTTGTATTAGTGTGGAGAGCGAGCTATAGTAGGTGGAGGTGGAAAAAAGATCCAGTCTTTGCCCCTGGGAACTCACTGTCTTTTGGGGAAGAAACAGACATTTATAATCTAACTAGAGGCCCTGTGCATGGATTCTTACACTGGTGGGGTTCCTTTGCGTAGCCTGCAGGAATCCGGCCAAAACCAGCAGTCCAACACTACCTGCTGCTCCTGCCAAGTCGCTCCTGCACATTCTGGCCCTCTTGTACCTATCACCCGGACTCAGTAGGCTTGCTGCAGTCTCTAGGTTGTGGTGGCCAGCCATGAGCCCAGTCAGTTAGCTGAGTGGTGCTCCTGCTGTGGGAACGCACTGACCACCAGGCGGCAGCTCCTGTGTTAAGTGTCTGCCCCCTGGTGGTCAGTGTGCATCATAGCGACCAATCATTCAGTCCTTTGGTTGCTTAGGCTTTTATATATATAGATGGTATACGTGCTACAATAAGAATAAGCACTGTAAGCCATTGGAGCATTTTGAAGTCCTGAGAAGTCAGAGAAGGATTCACAGAGGAGGGGAGAGGATGTGATCCTAAGGTTCCTGTGGAGGAGTAGAGAAAAGGGACATTGCAAGAGAGGAGGGGGAAGTGGAAATGTCCCCATGGAGGTGGAACCCTGTTAAGATAGATCTGGAGTCAAGGGGAGCTTGCTTGGCTGTAGCGTAAGTTGTGGAGAGTGGTTAAAAAAAGATAACATAAGAGGTTGGCAAGGGCCAGATGCTGAAAGAGTCCTTTAGCCTTTTACCAGTTTTGAACATTTTCTCACTAGTGATGGAAGTTGCTGGTCAGGTCTACATTTTGGAAAAACAGTATAGAATTGAAATAGTATAGTATTAAATTCAGTGGGGTTGCATAACAGGTAGGGAGACCAGCCAAAACAGAACATTAAGTTGAGAAATCTTGACAGCCTGAGCCAACTTAATAGCAAGTTAGTGGAAAGAAGTGTGTGAATTCCAGAGATAATAAGTAGGCAAATTTTGATTGATACTGATTATGGGTTTCCCCTTATTAGAAAACTAGATGCACGAAAATTTGTGCAAGAGTAGGTCTTCCTTCCCCTGGCTGCTGGCACTGGCTTCCCTTGGCACCCGGGATCTGGGACCTGGGCTGCTTCCCTCCTCCAGCCTCCAGCAGGCACCCAGGACCCAGGCTGCTTCCTTCTGGCCTGGCTTCGTCAGGAAGGATGTCTGAAATGACGTCTGGAAGACATCTGATCTAATTAGCATATTACCCTTTTATTATACTATCTAATAAAGGAGGAATATGCTAGTTGACCATCATATCTTCACAAATATGGCGGCGCCCACAGCCAATAAAGAGGGAATACGCTAATTGACTGCTACACCTTCAAAGATGGCGCCGCCCAGTCCCCTCAGCCCCACTGGGGTGTCAGGCACTCTGCATGGCCAGGCCCGCCACCAGGCAGGTCTGGCCACTCTGCACACCTGCCTCTAGAGTCCCCCAGTCCCATCAGCACCCCCAGCCACCCAGGGCCAGTTCTAGGCACAGGCAAGCCTCGGATGGCGGCTGCCCGGGGCCATCTGAGGCTCAGGTAACCAGGGTCAGCTGAGGCTTGCACTGCCGGCAGTGGCAGCAGCAGAGGTGTGATGGGGGCGTCGGCTTTCCCTGATCACTGGGTCATCTCCTGCCCCTGTGGGCTCCCGGACTATGAGAGGGGGCAGGCTGGGCTGAGGGAACCCCCTGTCCAGAGCTTTAATTTTCATGCACCCAGCCTCTAGTTATAGATATTTGACTTCTTTTATATCATCAAATCAAAGCTAGATAACAAACTATTATACAGAAAAGGCTTTTTTTTTACATGTAGAGTCATTTACATGATAGCTGATAAGCAAAATACTTAGCCCTACTAATACATTGATGGCTGTAAGACTGGATTCTGGAATCTTAAGAATAAGTTCTATATCTGTTCTGCCTCAAAGGTGTGTGATCTTGGTCACATTATTTAACCAATGTGATTCTTCCTTATATATATAAAATGAGGACAATAATGGTTTCAGCTTCAGGAATTATTGCGGATATTTAAATGAGAATAATCTATCTTGTCTGGCCTGTAACAAGCACTCGATAAATGGTATCTTTTAGAAAGCAAATTAACACTTATTTGCTTTAATATTTCTATGTTTGTTATATAGTTGGTTCTATTTTTTTTTTTTTAAATATATTGATTTTTCACAGAGAGGAAGGGAGAGGGATAGAGAGCTAGAAACATCGATGAGAGAGATACATTGACCAGCTGCCTCCTGTACACCCCCCATTGGGGATGTTCCCACAACCAATGTACATGCCCTTGACCGGAATCGAACCTGGGACCTTTCAGTCCGCAGACCAACGCTCTATCCACTGAGCCAAACCGGTTTCGGCTGGCTTCTATTTTTTGTGGGGCATTTTTTCCAACACTCCGGCTTTCTCAGTAATTGGAACTACTGTTGTACCTTGGGATTTGCTGTGTGAGACATTACACATTTGGAAATGATTGTATGTGAATTTTTAAGTTTATCATCAGCCAGTCCGTAGACCTTGAACTTTGTTGTTTGTTTTAATAAGAAATATTGTGAAGGACTCTAGTACTTTTAAGTGTGCACATGAACTGAAAAGTACAATATTCATATATAATTTCATAATAACGGTCCAAAATTTCAAAATTTATAAAGGAAAATGACTATATTGGATCAGAAAGTTTTGGATCAAATTCAACTTTTACATGTGGAAAAAATGAAATGTATGTGATCTAGGTGAACACATACTTTTAAGACAGGACACTTCAGTTAAGGAAAAGAATCTACAACTCAAAAAGGCCTGCTTAACAGAAAGGGTTTGATGTAGCATGTCCATTTCTTAATGTATGTAAGGAAATAAACTAAGGAGAAGCCATTATTTACTACTTTGCTAGTAAAAATTTCACTTTAACTTTAAAAAATATTTCTTATGATAGTGGGGTTAAAAGAAGATAAGGATTTGTACAAAAATTCCAAATAAAGTTTGTTGATTTTTTTTTATGTGTTCATTGTTTTATTTAAGCAGAATTAAGGACAATCTCTTCAACTGAACATTAACTTTTATTCTAAACAATCTACAATTGAATATCAAAATGAATTTGTCCTTTAAATGGCGATTTTCAACCAGTGTGCTGCAATAATTTTTAAAACATGCAATATTTGACTATTCAGGGGCACTGACATCTTTTCTTTTAGAATGTCAAATTAAAAAATGACAGCAGTCAACACAACAATAGTGGTCCAATATGAATGAATCAAAATTATACCTATTTTTTGTCAAATCAACAAAAAATAGAATATATGTTTTAGAGTGCTGAAAATTTTTAGTAATTTATGGCATGAGATGAAAAAGTTTGAAAAGCACTGCTCTGGAAGCATATGAATAACTAACTATATTCAGTAAAAGCTTCCTTATAATCATCACTGGTAGCCAATCTTCGATCCCAGTTTCAGGGTCCCAATTTTCCTGAAATTTTTATGAATAGAAAATTTAAAAATGCTTATTACCTATTGTACTGGTAATAGGCATGAATATATTGTCTTCTAACCGGGCCCTCTTCATATAGTATTTTCAGTACGCAGAGGACTGACTTAATGCAGATTTTCTCCTGCACAGGTGGTGGGTACTCAAAATCCTCCCCACCCCCGAGTTGTTCAAGGGTCAACTGTATTTATGTTGTTTACCTCTGTAGGCACTGAGCCTCTCTTCCTCCTTAGAAGCGTCAATCCTTTCCCTGCTCCATTTGTAAAGACCTGTAGTAATGATACCTTCTTTGTTAACTATGTTATTGACTAGTATGGTTTTATACATTTATAAACTAGATGACAGGGCATGCTGGAAAGAACTTGTGCTTTGAAGCCAGACATGCATTTGAAATGGCTCTACTGCGTATCAGCTGTGTGATTTCAGGTGGTCATTCTGAGCATCTGTATTTGATGAGAATAATATCTAACTTGTAAACTTGTTGTGGATTCACTTGTAATTATAATTAAGTTCAGACCTTTAAATTTTTTGGTTTAATTTATTATGATTAAATTCTATAAAGTTAGCCCATTGAATGTAAGTATTTTCTCTATGCATATCACTTTGTCAAGGCATTGTTTTTTTAACTATATTCTATCTTTAGTCTTGAACAAGGTAAATTATGAAATGGATTTTTCCCATTTTGGCCTTTATTGAGCATTTCAGTTGGCCCAGGCATGGTTTCTAACCTGAGTAAGGAGGAAAAGCACAGCATAAATAGATCTAACCTTTGGAAATGCATCTAAAATAACGTACATATTTTAAAGAATTTGGGGGTTTTAGATCAACTGGTTTAAAAGATTGACTATTTTGATGATCTATCCAAGGGTCACAAAACATTTTGGAGGTAATTTTCATGCAGATCATTTATTTAATGATAACTTGATTTTTCTTACCTATATCTTTACTCATATTTTCCATTAACTCAAACCTAGTGAAGTAGACATTAGTTACAGTACCTTGTGATGAATACTACTAAACTACCAAATAAGCAATATTAAGTTAACTAAGGATTTTTGAAAACTAGATTAAAAGAAGGTAAGTAACCAGGACAAACCATGTTTAAATTAGAATAAATACGTTCTAATATTAGAATGTTCGAATAATAGGCAAAGGACGGATAATTTTGAGGGTGAGAAACTTTACAGTGCTACAGTGTTGAAAATTTGTCATTATACATTGTCAAAATCCATAGAATGTACAGTGCCAAGAGTGGACCCTGATGTATACTATAGATTTTGAGTGATGATGAGCGTGATATTGATAGTGGGAGAGGTAGATCATATGGGAATTCTTGTACTTTCTACTTGGTTTTGCTGTGAAATTAAAACTGCTCTAAAAAATATAGTTTATTATTAAAATAAAAAATCAAAAGTAGGTAAATAATCAGAGCAAACTTTATTTAAATTAGAATATATACATTTTGTGCCTATAATTTTATAACAAAATACTGGTTTTGTGTCTGTATCATTTTATAAGTGACATCTGCAATGTGAGAAGTCTTCTATTTTTTTACTTAATAAGTAAATTCTGCCTTCGATTATTCTATTATTGATGTACAAATACTAATCCTGGGTAAGTTATGTTCACATAGCTGTTGTATAATAGAGGAAATGCTTTTCCACTCTATTAACCAGTTTGTAATAGCAGTTACCATAAATTTACTTGTAAAAAATAATAATGCTTTTTTATTTTGTAATTTTAAATACAGTGGGGTTTTTTTATGACTGGGAAGAATGTTAATACCAATGTGGACTTTTATCAAAGGATCTCAAAAAATTTAGACAAGACATCTTTCTGAGACTTAAGTAATACACTTGCCATTTTTGCGGTTCTGGAAATTGTTACCAAGAATTTATGACATGCCTACATTTGTGTACAAAGTAACAAAATTAGAAAATGAATTTATTTTAAACTTAGACAAAGAAGCAAAACTAAGTTTTGATGGCTTCTCAACATGGTTGAGCATACCCTATGCAAAAAGCATAAGAAGAGAGACCTGGCCACCAAAGTGGGCAGTCTCAGAATGGGAGCCACAGGGAGAGTTGAGTTGGAAAGTGTATACCAACTGACTTGTCAGTTGAATATATTAGTTTCAAGTAGCTTTGTAGCTTAACGTCTTTCTTGCTTTTTTAAAAGACTTAAGAAGGTGATCGTTATTTTTTTAGTTCCTCTGGATCTGCTTCAGTCTTGACGCACAGTAGCTCAGGAAATAGTCTGAAGCGTCCAGACACCACCGAGTCACTCACTTCTTCCGTGTCCAATGGAACAAGTGATGCTGGTAAGTGACCTCTGAGGATTTAACTTTTTTTTTTCTTAAAAATATTTGTTTGGGAGAAATTCTCAATACTGGTAGCAGCACAGATTGGCCCTTTTCCACCAGTCTAAGAAGATCTGTTTTGTTTTAGATCTTTTCGATTCCTATGACGACAGAGATGATGAAGGGGAGGCAGGATCGGTGGAAGAGCACAAGAGCGTTATCATGCATCTCTTGTCACAGGTTCGGCTTGGAATGGATCTTACTAAGGTAAGAATCAAATTTGGCATTTGCTGTCTTAATTTGTGGATCTTAGTGATTGTGTGGTGAGTGCGCCTGCAAATATAGTATAATGACATAACTTCTATTTATACTTTTATTGTGATTTAATATATATTAGGTGAATAAACTGAGCATTTTTATAAATGAATTAAATAAATAAAGTTGGAATAATTTCCTAGAGATAATATGGATGGATGAATATTTGGATTTTATTGGGGGCAAACAAAGGACTAGTATTGGGCTTGGTTAGTGGTTTGGACAAAAACTAAAGCAGTATAGTGCACACAAAATCAAAATGAGCAGAGTTCTGACCTGGGGTTATAGGAGCTATGCTAACAACCTACCTCAGCTATTACCAAACCATGTGACCTTGAGCAAGTCTCTTCTGTAATGATCTTTAGGTTCTTTATTTGCAAAGTGGACACACTGACTGACTTCAGAGTTGTAAGGATTAGAACAGATAATGAATGGAAAATTGTATGACACACATTCAGCCATACAATTACTGTGGCCTGGATTTACTAGTAAATCTGAATCCAATCTTTGTGCTCTTGAGTGCCTGATTGATTTAGGAGACTAGTGTACAGTTGCCTTTGTATATCTCTGCCACTGTGCTAGCAGCCTCGTCCTTGCACTTAATTCTCACCATAACACTACAAAGTAGGTGTTATTGTTCATTCATTTTATTGATGAGGTAACTAAAACTCATGGAAGTTAAGTAACTTGGATAAATCCTATTAAGTAGCAGAAGTGAGATTCTGATCTGGTCTGTGATTTCAAAAGCTATAATCTTTCCATGCTGCCTCTTATCTTAAAGAGTTGAACTGTAATAGCTTTCTATTGGTTAAGTTATTCTACCGAACTTTAGAAAGTTAATAACATTCAGGAGTCTTGCTTTTATTATGACCAGGTCAAATTATAGTCTTTGTCAGTGTGAGCTTCATTTTGATTTGGATTTAGAGGGTAATTAAGAAAAAAACTAATCCATAATATTTACTACTTAAGTATCTAAAATAAAACCTTCATAAGGATAGCATTAACTTGTGAGACCCAACATACTTGCCAGGAATGTTCCAGATAAGAGAATATTTGTAGGAGTTTGCCTCAGTGTTTATTAGATTGCATAATTGCTGGATCAAAACTTTTACTTCACATTTTAAAGTCATAACCTATTTTTAAGCATTGACATTTCTTTTTTTTTTCGACATCTTTACCTTGGTTGGTTTTGGTCTCTAATTATGGAAGACCCACCTAAAGGTAACTTGAAGGATACTAGGTTTATTATATCACATATGACAAGTCCAGAAGTAGAGGAATGAGTTTCGGGGTTGATGCTGTCAGTGGGCCGGCAGTGTGGGAAAGGACCTCCATTCTCAGTCTCATCCTTAGATGTCAGTTACTTGAGGACACAGATTCATAAATAGATAAATTTCCTAGTGCATTAATGATGATAGAGAAGCACAATCCCCCACCCCCACCCCCCGCAAAGTGAGCAAACCCAATTTTGAATTCCCACATGAATAACGGCACAGTGAGAAAATTTCTCACTTTCTTTGAGCTTCATTTTTCTCCCATGTAAAACAGGGGTAATAATTTCTTCACAATAGGGTGGTTGCACAGTTCAGTAAGATAACGTGTATATAATGCCCAGCAGTCTTAGGCACCCAAAGCTTGTCTAGAGTAGTTTGTTGTTGTCACACTGAGCCAGCGAGCTAAAGGGAGGTTCACAGCGGAAGTGGCTTTGAAAATTCAGAACCCCTTCTCTGTTTTTCATCTGCTGGGCAGGATATGGGGCATTGCTCAATCAGAGCAGTTTGGGAAGTAAGTAGGTATCAGAAGCATGCCAGGGCAGTACTTGGTGGGTGTTACCATGATGAGAATGGGTTTTGTTTTTTTAGCAGTGCGGCAGTCTGTTTCTCTGTAGGAGAATATGATCCTCAAGGCTCAAATGTGTGTGTTTTGCAGGTAGTTCTTCCAACATTTATTCTTGAAAGAAGATCTCTTTTAGAAATGTATGCAGACTTTTTTGCACATCCGGACCTGTTTGTGAGGTATTTGACAATAAACACAGTAGTTTCTTATTGTTGAAGATTTTACCAATAGCTTTCTGCCTTTGCAGAATAGATGGATTCCCGGCCTTTGAAATATTTCTGGATGAAAGACATTGAATATTTTGTTTATACTAGAGGCCTGCCTGTTTGCTTAGGTTACATGATAGTGGTGTTCTAGGCAACCAATATGTTAAAAAATCTTAAGAGACCACTAATAGGTAACCAGTATTTACAGAGCCACAGCTATAAGCTTATGTGGTCCAGGTCTGGTATTCACTGTTAAATTACTTACATATATCCTGATGAAGTTCAGTTAACTGAGTTCATCAAACCTCTCTAAAGCGCCCATTGTTTCCCAGACACACTATGAGCTGGAGAAAGAAAAAGCCAGTGTTTGCCCCTGAGGAGCTTACAGTCTAGTTTCCAGATTACAGACTGATTCATAAACTTTGAATGTAAAAGCTTGTGATAGTAAATATATGTATAAAAGACAGATGTCATGGAAAGGTGGAATTGACCTACAAGGAGGTGAGTTGGCATCACTTTTCAGTGGAAGCAGGAAATTTTCTTTGTAACGGGATGTTCTAATCTGTCTTCTCATTGCATTTGTTTGTGTTGGGCTGCGGTTTACTAAAGTCAAATACTACAAATCACTGAGAGATCACAGTGGGTGGACTCATTGGCTGACATTGATATGTATGTTTCCTTCCTGATGAAGATTTAAGAGAACCATTTTATCAATAGCCGAAAGGAAGAATTTCAATTAATATGACACTGTTTAAATTAATACATAACTTAACAAATAAAATCAAACACTTATTGATAATGTGTGATTAAAGATGCAAAGTACCAATTATTCATTAGATACAGGTTCGAGATTTAAGGGTAGTCTTTATGTATGAGAATTTAAACTTTGAGGTCCCTTAGAGGAACCATTTAAAAATATTTAAAAGTACAGCTAAAATTCTAGTAAATAAGATTAAGTGGAATTCTAAAAATACTAAATCCAAAAAAGGAAACAATGGAACATGTAACAAAGGGGACTAGATGGTAGAGTTAAACTCAGCTTTATCAGTAGTGACACTAAATATAAATAACATGCATACTCCATTTAAGAGTGATTCTCAGAATGGATAAAAAAAAGCAAGATCCATCTGTATGCTATTTGCAAGCAGGAGATTTTATTTTTTTCTTATTTTTATTTTTTTTAAAATATATTTTATTGATTTTGTACAGAGAGGAAGGGAGAGAGAGAGTTAGAAACATTGATGAGAGAGAGTCATCGATCAGCTGTCTCTTGCACACCCCCTACTGGGGATATGCCCACAACCAAGATACATGCCCTTGACCGGAATCGAACCCGGGTCCCTTCAGTCCCCAAGCCGACACTCTATCCATTGAGCCAAACCAGTTTCGGCAAGCAGGAGATTTTAAATATGAAGTAGAAGGATGGACAAAGACATAGGCAAAACATATATAACAAAGCTGGTGTCACTTGTATTAGTATCAGACAAGAGTTTTTAAGATAAATATTGGGATATTTCATATGATTAAGAAAAGGTCAATTTATCAAGAATACATAAGAATCCTAAATGTGTGTACCTAGTAACACAGCTTCAAAATACATTCAGCAAAAATTGGCTAAACTGAATGGGAAAATAGACAAGTGCACGATTGTGGTTGGAAATTTCTCAGGAACTGATTGAACAGTAGCTCCCTGCATGCACTGCTCCCATTTCACCCCCACGAACATCTGTAAGGCTGTGGAAGAGGCAAACAGCATTACCTGTCAGCTTGGCCTGGTTGACCTTCAGGACACTATCAGTTTGTATAACAGTCTTTCTGGTACACATGGAACATTCATCAAGATATATCAGGTACTGGGAAGATGTAATAAATTTAAAATCATTGCAACCATACAGAGTATATTCTCTGTCCATGAAAGAATTAAATTAGAAATCAATAACACAGATACATCTAGAAAATCTCCAACTATTTGGCAACTAAACAGTGCACTTGTATGAAGTTCTGGAACAAGGAAACTAACCTGTGGTACTAGAAACCAGAAACAGTGTTTGCTTCAGGGTGAGGGGTGGGGATTGCTTAGAAAGGGGGGGATAAGGAAACTTGGGGGAAATGGAAATGTACTGTGTGGTGATTAATTAAACGGATACACACTTCTGTCTCCGTCGCCAGACCACGCGCTTAAGACCAGTGTGTTTAATTATTTCTGTTATGCCTCCATTTTAAAAGGAAACTGTGAGGTAACTCCTGTGCTGGGTCCTCAGCGTGTATCAGAGTGGGCCATGCTGAGGGTTGCTACATCAGCTTGCATCCTGTCAGAAAGCAAAACACAAATTTTGTCTTTCTCCCTTGCAGCATTAGTGACCAAAAGGATGCCAGAGACCGAATGGTTCAGGTTGTAAAATGGTACCTCTCAGCCTTCCATGCGGGAAGGAGAGGATCAGTTGCCAAAAAACCATACAATCCCATTTTGGGCGAGATCTTTCAGTGTCACTGGACATTACCAAATGATACTGAAGAGAACGCGGTGAGTTCTGCACTGGCATTTTTAATTATCTTAAGTTGTGTACTGATCCACACTTCATTTTGTTTGGAGATAGGAAACAGTGATACAAGTAATGAACAGAAGATGCTCACTACCCATAGAAGAATAGTGTTGTTGGAACAGCATATTTTTAATATAAAGAGCAATGGGAGAAGAGGGCATGAGATAAGGATAGAGATTTAGAAATCAGATGATGCAAGACCTTGTGGGCCATAATGATGATATCATGGCTTATCAGGATGTCATTTTTTGTTTTGAAAAGATCTTTTAACGATTTTAGGAAAAAACAAATTAGAAAGGGGCAAAAATAGAGGCGAGGGGGCCTTGGCCATTATTCCAGGAGAGACATGGTTGGTTGAAGCTGTATTTCAGAGTTAGAACTGGTAGGTGGATTGGGGGAAGGTAAAGGAAAGGGAACAGAGATGAATCCTTGCATGTGGGGCTTCAGCAGTTGATCAGTGCTGTTGGTATTAAGAAGGAAAAGGTTGGATTTGGGGAGGAAAGATCAGGAACTCATATGCGAAACATCGAGATCGCTCATGATCTCATAGACATGTGAGTGGAGCTGTCAGTTGGAGCTAGACTTTAAGAGTCTGGAGTTGAAGGGAGGGAGCTAGATTGGAGATGGTGCTTTCGGAGACATTAGGTCGACAACACAGCGCACAGTGGTAGGTGACTCAGACCTGCGCCCAGGGCTCTTAGCACTTAGAGGTCACTTTGAGGAAAACAACCAGCAAGGAATCCTCAAAGTAAAAGGCCTTGAGGGATTGGGAACAAATCCCCTGACCCACAGTGCCTGGCATATAATAGTCTCTCAGTAGACATAACTTCATATCTTTCCCTTTCCAAGTGACTCATTACATGTAGTCCTCTCTGAAGACAGAGGCAATCACGCGTCTGTTCTCACTCCAGTGTGTGATTCAGCGCCATGTTGAAAGTGTGCCAGGTGCTTTGAGTGTATAGACGGGGGAGCAGTAACCACTGAGGGAAGGAGAGATTCCCCTTATTAGAGTCTCTGCAGTGTCATTTGTGTTTCCAAATCAAAAGAAAATGATGTTATATTTGCTTGCAGGAGCTAGTTTCAGAAGGACCAGTTCCCGGGGTTTCCAAAAACTGTGTAACATTCGTGGCTGAGCAAGTTTCCCATCATCCACCCAGTAAGTCACAGAGCTTAGCTCCTCTGCAACATCCACTTGAAACCATGCTGGCAAAAAAGGGTCATGAAAAGCTCATAGGCGAGGTCACTACTGTCTTGATTAATGTCTGCCTGTGTCTTCCCAGTCCTGTGAGGATGGGCGTCTCATATCTGTTCCTTGTATAAGTTCCAAAGACTGTTAGCTTCACTGTTATTTTCCAAATAAACCTTTAATGCTTCTAAAGTTATTACACCTAATAGTTGTACTGAAAAGACCTCAGCAACTTTGAGACAATTTACTAGTATATAAATGGGATATAGTTCTGCTCAATATATTCCTGACATCAGGGAGAGACCGTATCTCCTGTGTCTTATTGGCTCAGTGCAGTGGTAATACTGATGGGTCCAGCTTGGGGCTGAGATAGACAAGCTTGCCGACCAGAAGAACAGATAGACATTTTGATTTTAAGCCTCCAGGATTGGCCATCGTCTCATGGTTCAGGGAAGTTTCTGCCCACATGACCCCAAAAGAATGTTTTCATTGGGGAAAACGGTAAAGAATTTTCATCCAGGAGTCAGTTCTTTCCCCAGGTTAAGGGAATTGGAGAAGTGGGTATAATTACACAGTACACTAATTGTTTTAAAAAATTTCTGTAGTTTCAGCCTTTTATGCTGAGTGTTTTAACAAGAAGATACAATTCAATGCTCATATCTGGACCAAATCAAAATTCCTCGGAATGTCAATTGGGGTGCACAACATAGGGCAGGGTAAGTCTTTGGATGGGGTGGACTCCCATGTTAATAGAAATTTATGCCATTATAATGGGTGCTGGTCAATTGTCTAAATAAGAGAATATGGCCCCAGAAAGTCAGCCTGGATGTCATTGTTTGCATGTAAGCATGTTTGTTTTGGGTGAAAGCAGTGGTGGGGTGCGAGCTTTTCCCCCCCTAAATTGAATGGAGAATCGATCAATCAGACAAGAAGACCTAATGGCCAGGTGACACTAGTCATCAGAGTTACTCTCTCTTCTCTCCACAGGGTGTGTCTCGTGTCTAGACCATGATGAACATTACATCCTCACATTCCCCAACGGTTATGGAAGGCAAGTAGAGCTGCATCCGTTTCTTCTGATCAGCAAGCAGCAAACCCTGCTGTTTCTTAAGCTATGCCCCTCTCTTTCCTCTGAATTGTTAGCCTTACCTGAAAACTTCCCATTTTGCAGGTCTATCCTCACAGTGCCCTGGGTGGAACTAGGTGGAGAATGCAATATTAATTGTTCCAAAACTGGCTATAGTGCAAATATTGTCTTCCACACGAAACCTTTCTACGGGGGCAAGAAGCACAGGATTACCGCTGAGATTTTGTAGGTATTTTGTTTTTCTGCGTTCATGCTCCTCTTCTCTGAAATACTGTTCCTTTTGTCTTGAATGATGATGTCTGTTAGGAATGGACCATTTTAATGGTTCTATCTTTGTAAACATATTCACATCTTGTGTGTCAATTCTCTTCTTAAAATCCCATTTTCAGAAGGAGTCTTAAAATCAGGTTCAGAACAATCAGGTCACTGGTGTGATTTCCTTCCTACAAACCCAGCTCATGGATTCTTGACTCACTTGTCCAGATTGGACCGTGAGCTGGCCCATGCAGTGGACTGACTCCCGCATGAGTGTCTTCAGGTCATATTCTTTCTCTTTGCCTTTCTGGGGGGGACAGTAACTTCACATCTGGGCCTGGTTTTGTTTGACACTCTAGGGCCAGGGTGGGGACCATCCAGCCCTGGAGCCATATAAGGCCCTTGAAATCATCAGTCAATCATTAGGGGTGAGTTAATTAAATGTTTGACCAAATAGTAGGCTAAATTTTAAGCTGATAATTTTGTATGGCTCATAAATGATGTTATAATTTATCCAAACGCCCCTTGGCAGAAAAAACGTTTTCACCCCTGGTTTAATCTTTATGCTGTGCAGGCTTGTAGTCTAAGAGCAATAGGCTATATTTGTGGTCAGCAAACTGCAGCTCGCGAGCCACATGCAGTTCTTTGGCCCTTTGAGTGTGGCTCTTCCACAAAATACCACGGTGTGGGCGTGTCTATTTTGAAGAAGTGGTGGTAGAATAAGTTTAGTTTAAAAAATTAGGCTCTCGCCGAGACCGGTTTGGCTCAATGGATAGAGCGTCGGCTTGGGGACTGAAGGGTCCCGGGTTCGATTCTGGTCAAGGGCATGTACCTTGGTTGCGGGCATATCCCCAGTAGGGGTGTGCAAGAGGCAGCTTATCAATGACTCTCTCTCATCATCGATGTTTCTAACTTTCTATCTCTCTCCCTTCCTCTCTGTACAAAATCAATAAAATATATTTAAAAATGTGGCTCTCAAAAGCAATTTCAGTCGTTGTACTGTTGATATTTGGCTCTGTTGACTAATGAGTTTGCCGACCACTGGGCTATACCGTACAGCCAAGGTGTGTCATTGGCTTACACTGAGGCTAGTTTAAATGAATTCTAATTATGTTTGCACAAGAATGAAATTGCCTAAAGACAAGTTTCTCAGAACATATCCCATCGTCAAGTGGTACATGATTGTCCTTAATAGAGGACAACTGGATTCTCCCACTTCCTTGCAGTTGGTTGCTACATAGGAAACTCTCTGCACTTGGGGGGAAAGTAGAGTGGAAAAGGCAAATAACATCTCAGTGTTACAAAAATAGTTTTGATCTAAGAGGGTCTTGGGTACCCCAAGGGGGTTGCCAGACCACACTTTGAGAACCACTGCACAGTGGTCTAAACCTGGTGTTCTATATATATATATTTTTTCATTCGTACCCCTTCCTCAAAGCCCCTAAATCCTAGAGGAAACTTAAGGTTTAGTCCAGTGATAGAAGCTTCATCCCTCTGCCTTGTTTATTTTTCTCTCCGACCTTTCAGCCTCCTCCTGGCCTTTGCCTTGCCCTCCTAACTTGTCCTTTGCTCTGATGCTTATCTTTCCAAATTCCATTCCTGCCATACATGTCATTATCCTGTCCAACTAGAGGTCTTTTCGGACCTTTGAGGAAGGGATCCTTGTCAGGAAAAGAGGTCAAACTGTTTTGACTCAGGTCCTTTTCAGCCTCAGGTTGAAAATGTGGTCTCTGACGTAAGCAAAACCTTCCCTGACCTTCATCTCAGCAGTTTTGCCCTTGAAATCCAGGGCTCACATAACTCCTCACAGCAGTTACCACCAGAATTTATGCCCACTAGGCTGTGAACAGGCTGAGGGCAGGAATTGTTCCTAGTTTGCTGCTGTCACCAGCTCAGGGCCCATCTGGTTCTTACAGTTGACTGGGAAATCCAGTTCCGTTAAGCTGCTTGACCAAAGACTTCACAGTTGCTCTTCTGTGTTCTGCTCTGTGTAGATTGGTCCCCAACCAGAATCTTTAGTAATTTTCAACTTGAGACTGACACAAATGTTTCTTTTCTATTAAGTTCTCCAAATGACAAGAAGTCCTTTTGTTCAATTGAAGGGGAATGGAATGGTGTCATGTATGCAAAATATGCAACAGGGGTAAGTAACTGTATTTTGCCACTTGTTTCAGGCTACATTGAATTGTAGCCTATCCTTTACTCTGGCTTCCTTCCACTGGAAATTGAACCCTCGAGGCCAGCTTTAATGCCATCTCTTCAAGCCTTTTCCTTTCCTCACCTCTTCTCAGCAATAAAGCGAGTAGAATGATTTGACTCTCCTCTAAAGATATTCAAGAATAAGTATGCTGTACACTTGAAATTAATACAGCACAATTCTGAATGTAAACAAATTGAAAAAATATTTTTTAATAAAAATTTTTAAAAAGAAAAATGTATGTTACAAAAGGCTTGGCACATAGTAAAGCACCCAATAAATGTTACCTATATCATTAGAATGTGTGGTATGTTTATAAAATGCAGGGCTGAACTAACTTGTGTTTATATGCAGTTTTATTTTGTGTAAGAAATGTATTGAATGCCTGGCACCAAGGATACAGAAATGAGTAAGATAGTCCTTGCCCTCGGGGAACTTGCAAAGGGTCCCTGATTAAGATAAGGAAGGTGGTATGGGATTAACAGGATTCAATGAACTGGATTTTGGATTTGGAGAATTTGAAATGTAAAAAGCACTTCAGCATACTATCATTAGTATTGGTTGTTTATGGGTCTAGCTCTCCAAGAGATTACATCCTGAGTATGTGGCATCTGGTCACATTGAAAATGTTTATTAAATTGAGCCTCTACTAAGACTTAAGACAAAACTATATTTTAAGGCTAAAGATTGCTGATGAAACTGTCTTTCTCAATATGTGGGATTTGATTATAACATCTTTTAAAATCTTCTGGGAAGAGTTGGCTCTTCTTTTTAGAACAGGTTGAACAATAAAATACCTCTTCTGTTTATTTCCTAGGAAAATGCAGTTTTTATAGATACCAAGAAGTTGCCTATAATCAAGAAGAAAGTGAGAAAGTTGGAAGATCAGAATGAGTATGAATCCCGCTGGTAAGGAGACAGCAAAACTAAAGCTGTTGATTTGACTAGACATAGATGCAGGACTGGGTTATGGAGATAGCAGAGTGCAAGAGCACAGACTAAGTTTGAATGCATAGATTCATGAAAGCTCCACCACTTACAGTTTTGTAACCAAAACTTGTAAGCTTTCCTCTCTGCCTTTTTTCCTAAAATGAGAACTGCTTCAGAGTTGTGAGGAATAAATGAGATGATCATGTTTGAAGCATATTATACTTGACATATAGTAAGTACGTCGAGTGTGATGGCTTACCACCATCTTTGAGGTTTATAAGAGATGGCAGTGAGGTCCCAACTGAGAGATGAGCCTTCAGGACATTTACTTGCAAGAAACTTTTTAAAATTTTTCATCCCTAAGTATTTCAGTGTATATCTCTAAAATGACATATGAAAAAAAAGAAAAACCCACAAAGTATCATTATCATGCTTTAAAAAAACCAGTTATTCTTTAATGCATTCAAATGCCTATTTGGTATTCAATATTCCAGCAGATTCAAACATTTTTTTCCTTTCCCAATAAAATCAGGGTCTTTTAGTGGTATGAGGAATTATGTACTAAAGTTCTTTGTTTATTGTATTAGGGCACATGTGTCAAACACAAGGCCCGCGGGCCAAATCCGTCCCGCCAGGCCTTGCAATGTGGCCTGCACCGCGCTGTCATCACTGCACTCCACTGCGTTTCCATCACAATGACAGTTTATGACTGTTCAGTAAACCATTCGGCCCGCAATTTAGGCTGGATTTTAGATTTTGGCCCCTTCTCTGATTGAGTTCGACACCCCTATATTAGGGTATTTAGTGGATTAGGGAATTCATAAGTGAAGGAAGGGGGCCTTATACACCATTACTCCTGCTTGTTGTCACTAACTTGTTAATCTGCTTGGCTAGACTGCCTGCTCAGAGTTACGTAAGTGGAACCATGGAAGTATACTCTGCTACTCACAAGGGGATCTTAGGCGTGGACACTTTTCTATCACTTGTAAAGTGACCTATTTGGACCAGACCTGTCCAGTTACTATCTTCCAGGCCTTGAGAGGACGCTTACCCCTTTAAACTTCTGCAGTTGACTCTCTCTATTCACACCATTTCTCCAAGGGAGCTTTTCTGAAGTGGAACTTCTCAGCTCCTCTGTTCTAATCCTTTTGTTTTATAGTAAAGGACACTCAAGTCCTTGAGACATCACCAAAGTTGCATAATTAGATGTAGAGTCAGAAATAGACTCCCAGGTCTCAGTTCTCACTGTTCGTTCTCCCCTGTTGTCCCTACCATATGTCCAAATTGCTGCTCATCCTTTACTTCCTCCATTGATAAACTAGCAGTGGAATCTCCCAAGTCTATTTTTCTGATCTTTACCCCAGGGCTCTGGTGCCAATTTAAGGATCTTGAGACTGTGAACAAGGGCACTTAAGGGTTCCTATAGATTTGCATTTCATTCTCAAGATTGCTCATAATTGTGTCCATCTAGTACTTAGCACCTTAACTTCTTCCTTTTTTTTTTTTTTTTTTTTTTAGCCTTTGGAAGGATGTCACTTTCAACTTAAAAATCAGAGATATTGATGCAGCAACTGAAGCCAAGCATAGACTTGAAGAAAGACAAAGAGCCGAAGCCCGAGAAAGGAAGGAGAAGGAAATTCAATGGGAGACGAGGGTAAGCTTGCTCTGGGAAACCTGCCCCAACCTCCCAACTGCTGCTGCTCCTGTCCGCTGAGCTGTAACTCATGCGTTCATTTCAGTAAGTGAAGTTCCAAACGCTGTTTTAAGCAAGCATGCTGATAAACAAGATGAGCCCAGTTTCCTGTAGAAACTCATCCTATATAATAAAAGGGCAATATGCAAACTGAACCTAATGGTGGAATGACCAGTCGCTATGATGCACACTGATCACCAGGGGGCAGATGCTCAATGCCGAAGCTGCCCCCTGGTGGTCAGTGCACTCCCACAGGGGGGAGCTGCCTCAGCCACAAGCAGGGCTGACCTCTCCTGCCTCCTTGGCAGTGCTAAGGATGTCTGACTAAGCTGTCAGGTGGACATCCTCAGGGTTCCTGGGCTGCCAGAGGGATGTCTGACTGCCGGCTTAGGCCTGATCCCCCGGGAAGCGGGCCTAAGCCAGCAGATGGACATCTCCCAGGGGGTCCTGGACTGCGAGAGGGCGCAGGCCAGGTTTAGGGGCCCCTCCCCATGAATTTTTGTGCACCAGGCCTCTAGTTTAGTTATGGGACTAGACATAAAATAAGTATGATACTATAGAAGTACACAAGTGTGTAACTGAATTCTCCCCCTTTCTTTTACAGTTATTTCACGAAGATGGAGAATGTTGGGTTTACGATGAACCATTACTGAAACGTCTTGGTGCTGCCAAGCATTAGGTTGGGAAATGCAAAGTTTACACCTGATAACCAGGGCAGTAGGCGTAATCAAGCAACAGTCTTCCTTTGGGAGAACATTCTTACTCCCTTATTGCAGTGGTTCCTATCTCAGGGATACTGGACTTTCCGATGCAGATGAACAATTAAAAGCGAGAAAAGCTTCCCTTTTTCCTCTTTTGTGGCAGTTACAATTTTGACTTCAGTCCTGAGAAAAACTTCGGGTTTTGAAAATACCATGTCTGCTCTTTTTCCAAACCCCAGGCTTTGAAAAGCATTTAAAAATCCCAGTCTCAAACTCTGCACTCTAGTACTGCTGTTGAGATAATACATCATCTGTTTCTTAGTTCATATAATCTTGGGATATATATATATATATACACACATATATATACATACACGTACATATACATATATACCTGATGCCAGATTTTTCATAAATATTCCATCTGTAAATATTGGTTCCTCTGAGTTCTTTTAGAAATTTAGCGCAATGTATTAAAATCAAGTATTAAGAAATTTCATGGTCTCATCTACAATAACTTTTATTTTGTAATTGTATCTAACTCTGGGTTACAGTTTAATTATACTCAGTGCTTCTTAAGGCTTCATAAAGTACTTTTTCCAACCTTTTTTAAATGTGTTTTTGTTTATTTATGGTTAAATTTGGAGGCAATTATTTGGCAACTTTCAATATAGGAATTAGCCTTTCACAGGACTCACCTGTAATAATGGAGGGCCATCCTTGCCCTCACCACTCCCTCATACTTGGTGTCCTGTCTCTACCCCTCTCTACCCCCCAAGTCCTCATCGAACTCATGTAGCAGACATAGGACTACCAATGTTTTAATCAAAAACATTTTACCGCCTTAAAGTAAGCATGTCAAACTTGCAGCCCACAGGCCTCATGCTCGTTTTGGGTTTGACATGCTTGCCTAAAAGGGTTTGGGAAAAATTTATTTCTGTACCCCACACTGAAAAACAAGAATGCCACAGCAGCAAATGCCTCATTCTGAAGGGTAATACAGAACTATCTTTATTTAAAAATACATTAAAAACAACATCATCATTTAGGTATTAGTATTAGCACCTAACATTTAGGTACTAATAAGACATGGGTTACACAGGGCTGTCATACAGAACTGGATTCTCAGTCTGAGAGAACCAGGTGCCAGGGCTTCTCAAACTGCTCCTATCAGCGTTTTGGCCACCCTGCTGATTTCTCTGCCAGCTGCTACCATAACCCTTTTTCGTTAGTCACCACAGAAGGGGTGGGGAGTAAATCAAATTTTATGACGCCAGTGCAAAAATTCAATGGAAGCCCTAAGGCCATAGTAGTGTAAATTCATAAAATACACATTTTAAATACACAATGTTTCATTCAGGCCAACGAGACTGCAGTTTATTTGACTATTTTATGGTAGGGGAGAAGGTTAAGTGTGGATGTGAAAGCCCTGATATCAGTAATGGGGATGGTAGAATCTGTCAGCAGAGGAGAGGTTGGCAGGTAGGTTAGCTGCATCGGTTCAGAAGAAGAGTTTGAATCCTCACCATGAGGGGTACCATCCTCTTCCAGCTCATACTTCCCAAATCCAACAACCTGGAAGAAGCCAAAGGCTCTAGGTGAGAAATAGGCTGACCAGATCTAGGCAAAGACCTGTTAGGGTCTCTGCTACTAGCACAAACTCAGAAAATGATGGCTAAATGACAACCATACTCACATGAACACTAAGCATTTTGCTTCCTGGGCCTCTGTGAGCCTTGAACCAATTGACGAGGTCTGATTTTGAGAAGGACTTCAGTGCTTCAATCTTTTAGGGGAAGGAAAGATAGGAAAGAGAGCTATAAAAGACTAGCAACACATTTTCTTAAAAGGTAGTTCTTAACACCTGGCAGACTTCCATGGTCTGAGCACATCAAGTTTCAGCTTGCCCCAACCTTCCAGAATAGGATAAAAATAAGCTTTGGCTGCATATTTTAAGGTTTCATAAGCAAGAATGGGTAGCAGATACTGTAATTATAGCTGAATAACACACACAGCCAAAACTCTTAGGTACATAGTAACTATACTCAAGTGAGAGAAAAATACAGAAACTATTGAAATAGGTAGAGAACTTTATCTGTTCTGCTTCTCATAGGAAATCTAGTGCCTTAAGAGCCTCGTGTTAAACCCTCTGTCTCAATGTCCTTTTGTAATTCACCACATCTACACTAATTAAAAAAATGCTAATTGTACCTTTGCTATGCCCACAGCCAATCAGGAGTGATATGCAAATGAACCCAGCAAAGATGGATAAATTTGCATGTGCAGGAGGCAGAGGCCTTATGGTGGCCGATGGAGTTGGGGACATGGGCAGGTGGCAGGGAGGAGGGAAGGAAGTGCGGGGGGCAGCACCTGAAGCCACGGGTGGATCCAAGCTGAGACGGGGACCCTGGCAGCCGGCAATGCCTGGGTCCAAGCCACCAAACCACCTACCTGGGTCCAAGCTGCCCCGTGATCATGGGATGAAGAGCCCAGGCCCAAGCCGCCCCGTGATCTTAGGGCGAAGAGCCTGGGTCCAAGCATCCCACAGTCACGGGGCGAACAGGCCAACCGAGCTGACCCGCAATCACGGGGCTAACAGGCCAACCGAGCTGACCCATAGTCACGGGGCTAACAGGCCAACCGAGCTGACCCACAGTCACGGGGCTAACAGGCCAACCGAGCTGACCCGCAATCACGGGGCTAACAGGCCAGGCCGAGCCTGACCAAGCTGCCCTGCAATCCCAGGCGAAGCCACCGCTCTGCTGACCAACCTGCGCTATGGACCTGTTCCCCTCTGGCCTGCAATCATGGGAAGTCTCCCTCTCCTCTGAATTAGGAGCACCAGCCCAGGTCTACCCAGCGGCCTGGTCCTGACTGCGGGGGTGAGTTCCTGCAGGCTGGGGTTTGACCCTTATGCATTAGCAGGAGGAGACCAGTGCCTTTGTTATTGCTGTGTGTCTGGGTTTTAATTGGACAAATGCCTGGTGGTCCCAGTGGCCAGCTCAGCAAAATCTTTTAAGAGGAGAATTCTGTCTGGGTTTCCTCAAATTCCCTCAGCCCCTACTCACCCCTCTGTAAAAGTGCAAAACAAGTGAGGCCCTTAAAAATCAGCTGCTTCATGAGTATGGCATCCCTTCCTATTTTAAAGGAAGCTAAATTCCATGTGTACTATGCTATGATATCTGAGGCACAGGACAAGGGAGGCCCTAAGTGTACTATGCCTTGATACTTGAGTCGTTCTTTATTGTTCAACATAATTTATTTCTGTACACGTCAGTTTGTAATAGTTAAATTACTAGAATACATCTTGCTATAAAATATTACTAGAAGATCAAATGATCAGGTGACATTTGTTATTTCCTATAAAATAACAAATGGTATGCTAAAGTGATAGGTATTACAGAAATATTCAGATAGAGAAGACCTACAGGCTTGATTACAAGTGAGGCTTACTATCAGCACTCAAATTTATTGCTTGAAAAAAAGCAGGGAGCCATCTAGAAACAACCAAATATAAGCCCTTGAAGGGAAAATGTAAATCGGATAAGCTTTGCTATTACTAGAATAAGAAGAAAAAATTCAATTGCAAGAATGAAAACCACATTGCATCTACTCTAAGTAGTTGTTAAAGAAAAAGTGGTATACTATGAAAATACTTAATACAGGTTGTAGACATTTGTTCGAAGGATTTCCTAGAGTAGGTGGTATTTCAGTTAATTTTTTTAAATGTGAAGAGGTTAGCTAGATAAGAAAAAGGTGTAGGGGTTCCAGATTGCAGCTGGAGGAACCCCCCCTCCATGCACAAATTTTGTGCGCCGGGCCTGTAGTAGGGTTACATCATCTAAGAGACTGGGCTGTAGCACACAGAGCTCTTTTTTGTGGGTTTTACTACTTTGTCAAAAGATCTACACCAAGAATCCTGTCTGGAGATTCATAAAGACCAAAGTTTTAAATTTTCTTTAAATACCAGAACACTTCCCCCACTCCCACCCCCACTTCACAAATCTTAACATGAACCTCAATATGTTAAACAAATGAATCTGCTCTAATTAAGACTGGTTGGGGGTCAGGAGTAAGGGTTAGCATCCTGCACATTTGGCTGCCTAAGATGCTAGAGAGGCCAGTCTGCAAACTAATCGAGCAATGAGCAAGTAAGGAACCAGGCCTAGGTGGGAGTGCCCCAGGGGTCTCTTCCACCCAGTACCAATGTGCTTGGAATTGTGACTCCTGCCAACTCAGAAGCCCCTGAGGCAGTCTTATTCAGAGAGCCATGTCATTACCTCATGGACAAGGCGGTCAAAGAGATACTGTTGTGTCACCACTTCGTTCCAGTTCCTGTCCACCTCCTCCCCAAGGTGGGTGTCCTCGCACTCCTTCAGCTTGATCAGGGCTGTGACCTGTCACCAAAAAGAGGTCTTCAGGCATGGCATCACCCTGGTGCCTCCAGAACATACGAGGCCCTGTCCCCTGTGGTTTGTGACGGACATGCTATAGTCCCTTCACTTGGGACCTGGCAGCATGATGCAGAGGGACGAAGCTAAGAAGACATGCTCAAGTTAAGGTGGGGCTACAATGTCCCAAAACTAGCCAGCAAAGCCAAGGCTGGTGTCCAGTTGTCTTGAGAGTGTGTGTGGGCCAAGAAACAAAACACCAGGCCAGCTCAGTCACCTGGGTGTTGAATGCATCCTCAGTGAGGTTTTCAATCTTTTCCTCAAAGCTAGAAAGAAACTCTTCTATCTTTTTATCAACAACTTCAGAGCTGAAACAAAACAAAAGTCATTAGAAATCTTGTCTCAGAAAGAGGCTAAAGTGTTTTCTTACCAGTCCTCAGCACTCCCTTAAATAGAGGGAGGGAAATGACTGGAAAGACCCCCATCCACCCCAACTCTGGCCCATTTTCCTGGCATCCTCATACTGAAGCAGTGACCCATGCTTGTCCCATGCTTGATTCCAAAGCTGAGATCCAACCAGGCCTTGTACCTGGATTGTAGCATCAAGGCCAGTACCTTTGTCTTTCTTGTCTTTAGATCTACCTGAAGACATAAACATTGGCAAGCCCTGTATAGTGACCACAGGATTTGAGTCAAACCCTAACAGGAACCATTGATCCGTCCTGGATCAGGTCTTCGATGACCAATCACTCTGCAGCCCCCACCCCCTGCAGCTGTGATTTCAAGTTGTCTGAGGTTTATCTGCAGCCCCTACTCTTCATGCCAATAATAATAGTTTGCTTACTCACTTGTATTTAGTTGCCTGAGTCCCCACAGTGACAGAGAATCCTAGAATCCCAGATGTGTTCCTACAGGTAGGGTAGACATGGTACCTACAGCCAAAGCAAAAAGTTTTATGAGCATAGCTGGTCACCTGAGCCCTGCCCTCAGAAACACTAGAGATGAGGGAAGGGTTTCTGCACATCTTGACTGAACCTCGAGATCCACAAATATGTATACATCTATTTCATTCTCAGGTTACAGGATCACAGGCTAGCTTCTTCTCTTGCTAATCTTGAAATGTGACCAAACTGAAAACCCGATGATAGTCCAAGATGCAAATTCCAGCATCTCTGGCCAGTAGGTATGACTCTAAGTAGGCATGGAAGGGCCAAAGAGCTCTGAGAGACTGCTTAGTTCAGGATACCTGAAATTTTAGCCTGCAAAATAAGCCCCAGCCCCTTATTTGAGCTCAGTGCTCTTGCAGCAGACTTACCCAAGGGTCTGCTTGGTTCGAAGGAAGTCAAAACAAGGCTCTTCCATGTGCATCTGTAATTCAACATACTACCCATCAGCCCAACTCCTAACCGAGAAAGCTCCATTTCTTCCCCTCAATGTTCCATACACCCCCAAAGTCCAGCCTCCCTGCTGCCTTCTTCCTAAATTGCCCAGTTTCCTATCCATGATCATACTGGTGAGAATACTAAGTAACCATCTCACCTTCCAACCATAGGTCTCTGACAATGCCAAAGTGTCTACTCCTAGGCCAGTGGTCAGCAAACTCATTAGTCAACAGAGCCAAATATCAACAATACAACTGAAATTTCTCTTGAGAGCCAAATTTTTAAAACTGAAACTTCTTCAAACGCCACTTCTTCAAAATAGACTCGCCCAGGCCATGGTATTTTGTGGAAGAGCCACACTCAAGGGGCCAAAGAGCCGCATGTGGCTCACGTACCGCAGTTTGCCGACCACGGCCCTAGGCAGAAAGGCCAGTCCTCTGTGGGTCAGGGGCTCCTTAACTCTTTTATACCACTTACCACAAGCAGCTCCATCAGAGTGTATTCTTTCAAACTCCTGGTACCTGACTGAAAGGAGAAGGTGGTCAGACCAACTGAAAATCCAGTGGCTTGCAGGGCATTTTAATCAGCTATTCTTGGCAACCATTTATTCATACGTCCATCCCATTCTTCTCATCCCCCAAAGAAAGTTGATCATACCCTCCACTGCCACACTTTCTACAATTCTGTTTATACATCTGTCTTCCTGGCAGAAGGTCTGTGAGGAGAGGACTCATGTGTGCTCATTTGTATCCCTAGCCTTAGGACAGACCTGCAGGGCAGGCATTAGAGCACGTGTCAAACACAAGGCCCGCGGGCCAAATCCGTCCCGCCAAGCCTTGCAATGTGGCCCGCACCGCGCTGTCATCACTGCACTCCGCTGCGTTCCCATCACAATGACAGTTTATGACTGTTCAGTAAACCATTCGGCCCGCGATTTAGGCTGGATTTTAGATTTTGGCCCCTTCTCTGATTGAGTTCGACACCCCTACATTAGAGGAAAGTCTGATAATCTCTACCTGCCAGCTCCCACCAAGGACCTAGAGGGCACAATCTAAAATTGTGCAGAAATGTCTGGGTATCAAGAAGGGTAACTGGACCTGTTCCTCACGTGGAAAAGATGTGACTAGGAGCTTTGCAGCCATGCTCAGGGACCCAACAACTGATAAAAACGCCTAGCAGATACCACATCCTGGCTGTCCTGGAAACTGGCAAAATAAAATGGTTAGAATAAAAGAGGACAAGAGGCCAACAAGCAATGACTTTGCTAGTGCATCCCCCTGCCAGGCTCTTGTAGGGTCCTCTGACAGACTCATTTCTACCCTTCCCCCCTTCACTAGAGAAAATGCTTTATAAAGTGAGTGCTCCCTTGCAAGCCCTGTATAGCAAGATTTCCTGTTTGCCTCTAGGACTGCAATAAAACCAGTCAAAACTTTTTATTAATTTCCTGTTCAAAATGCCCTCTGCGAGGAAGGAAGTGGTTCTTCTCCAAACACACACACACCCCACCCCACCCCACCCCCAGCGTCAATGCCCTAAAGGTACGTAGCCATGAGGAGAGCTGTGCAAGGGACCAACTGACCTGGTAGTACACGGTGACTTCAGAGTTGGCATCACCCTTGTTTAGAGCTCTCACTTTGCATATGTGGTGGGCACTGGGAAGTTCTACCACCTGGAACTGCACAGACATCTCCTGCTCCAGAGGCCTGAAGTTCAGCTTGCTGCAAAAGAATCAGTGTGGGTCACTGAGGCAGTGCCTTTATCCTCCTACCCCACCCCAAAGCTGTGGAAAAGAGGTCATCAGGCCTCCACAATCCCTTCTGAAGTGCTCTGTTTATATAACTAGCTTCAAGAAAACCTACCACAAGAATTATGTCCACTGTGGTTTAGTAACAATTGAGTAGTGGCTCAAGGCTCTCCTGCTCGTAAGAACATACAACTACCAAAGAGAAAACTCAAACTAATACTCACTCAATAACATATTTCAGGAAATCCATAGAATCCTAGGAGGCAGAGAAGAAATAACTGTATTAGGCTCTCTTGACATTAATTTCACCCAGAACCAACTAATATCCATATTCTAATCTTTTGGGAAGCCCTGGATAACATAGGAAAGCAGATATAGTCTGTCACCCAAAATGCTGGATAAGTCATTCATTGATTGGGCTTATCATTCACTGACTTAATATTATGTCTGTTGAACACTAAATGGCTCTAAATTGAACAATTCCTCTTCTGCTCACTCTGCTTACTGTACACTGTGACACTTTCCCCACTGGATCAAACTTACTGTTCAGGTTACCCCGATATTCTGTTCCCTCTATGACAACTGTATCTGTGCTTTGGAAACCAGGAGCCTGGCAGAGTGAGCAATAGCATAATCCTAAGTGAATGTATCTCCTCCTCCTCTCAAAACTTGTTTTCTTACGAACAAAAGGAGGGATTGGTGGAGGGATAGGCCCATTTTTAAAGCGATTTCTACCTGGGGGAGACATGGTACTAAGTCCTCTGGATCAAAGGCTTTGCCCAATACTACCACTGCTCAGAGAAGCAGGCAACTGTTCCTGCTCTTCTCTGTAAGTTGAGGCTTTTAAACTTCTTTCTGTGAACAGGACAGATACTAGGGCTGGGTAAAAGTGTGGTATATAAAGACATAGAGGAGCCGAAACCAGTTTGGCTAGTGGATAGAGCGTCGGTCTGCGGACTGAAAGGTCCCAGGTTTGATTCTGGTCAAGGGCATGTACCCTGGTTGCGGGCACATCCCCAGTAGGGGGTGTGCAGGAGGCAGCTGGTAGATGTTTCTCTCTATGGATGTTTCTAACTCTCTATCCCTCTTCCCTTTCTCTCTGTAGAAAATCAATAAAATATATTATAAAAAAAAAAAAAAAAAAAAAGACATAGAGGAGTGGGGAGGAAGTAGCCAAATGGAAGAGTGGCCATTTATATGTACATTCCATCAAAGAGCCAGTCTGAGGAATTGAGAAGCCAGAGAAGATGGCCAACAGCCAGACAGCTTAGGAAGAGTCCCAATCAAGCACTCTCGGCTGTAAGAGGCCTGTTCGACACAAGGTCCCACACATATCTCCAACTCAAAATCCCACAACAAACTCCTCATATGCCTTCCAACCTACTACTGTTCCTCCTCCCCCCACCAACCCACTAGTTCAGCAAGAAATTTGGGCATCATCCTAGATCCTTCCCCTCTCCCTCACCCCCACATCTAATCAGTCACTGAGTGTTGGCCATCCTCTATACCTTATTATTTCTTATTATTTCTGACTCATTTATTTTGCCAAACCTCTAAAGTTGCATCATTTTTCACCTTCACTTTGTGTGCGTGTGGAAAGACACATAACAAAGTTTATCATCTTAACCATTTGTAAATGCACAGTTCTCTAGTGTTAAGTATATTCACAGTATTATGAAATGGGACTCCAGAACTTGCAAACCTTTAACTCTACACCCACAGAACAATTCCCTCTTTTTACCTCTCCTACACCCTGGTAACCACCATTCTGCTGTCTCTATGACTTTGACGACTCTAGATTCTTTATATAAGTGAAATCATACTTCATATCAACTTTTCTAACAGCCTCACAACTGGGCTGTCTGGATCTTTCTTAATGACAAAACCTCTCTAAAACCCTTCAATGGTTCTCTGTTTACTACAGGATAAGCCTGACGTACAAGTTCTTCTTACTTATATATGTGCACATCCCTCACCACTCCCCAGGTCCCACTTTAATTTCTAAAATGTTTGTAATTTCTATACATAACTGTCAACAAATATAACCAATATCATATATTTACCAAACCCATTTCATCCAGATTCCCTTCTAAATAGCCTATGACAACGCTGGCCTGCCAAACCTCAGAGCTCCAGGGAAGAACTAATGCAATTCCAGAGCCCACAAAAGCATTCAGATCTGGCCAACAGCAACAGAACACCTCACACTCACTGTGCTTGTGACATTTCCTTGTACCAGGCCTTCAACAAAGAGCTGGGATTTGAACTCTTTGACAAAGCTCAGCAGAGATTCAAGGGTCAGGCCATCCATCAAAGCCCGGTACTTGTCAATCATAGACCAACGGGCATATTCCAGGATTAAAAGCCGCACATCTCTGTACAGAGGACAGAAAAAAAATGTTTTGTTGTAAGACATGAATCTTAAAGAAATTAGAGAGATTTTGTTAAATTTCTACAGATGATATATTTTAAAGAGAAACTATTTCTACCACTATTTAAGATGGGGAAACAATCACCGAAAAGAATTTAAAATTGCACACAAACTTTTACACAGATTTCCACATAAAACATTTCACATAAGTTGCGAGATAAGTTACACACCAATTTAAATTTATTACTATTTTTATTTAAAATCTAACATTTTACTAATTACTAGAAGTCACCTTTATAGACTGAAGTGACCATACAGGTAGTAGCTTTAGGCCAAATTCAGACTGACTCTGACCCCACACTAAGCTGCTTAACTTCGGCAAGTCACCTGTGACTCAATTTCTTCATTTATGAAAGAAAAATAATAATGGTGTTTTGGTGAAAAATATATAAACAAAGTTCTTAGGTCTAACACATAAAATAATGACTCTTCAGTAAAAAGGTATTATTATTACTTTACCACATTTTGATAAAGTAGCATTCAGGAGTAATTGCACACACAGGGCTGTTTTCTCAACATTTCAACAGTTCCAGACACTCTCATTTCCAACTTATATTTGGTTATTAGTTTTAATAATCAGGTTATTAGTTATTACCTGTCTGACTCTTAACTACTTCCCTTACTTTTGAATTTGGTTATTTATGGGCTCATTATTGCTATCAGAAGCAGAGCCTCTATATCAGGTTGTGCTGTTTACCATTTGCAGACGCACAGCAAGAAAGTGAAGTGAGGGCTTGCAAACCATGTGCACAGAGGGCTGGGCCTGCTCAGAGGGGAATTTTTTTCCTCCCATAAAGGCTCCACAAGCTGACAGAGGGTACCCCAAGAGGTATTTCTCCTGGTTCACACCAAGGTACCCTCTAGGCTACAGGCTCTGATGGAAGGCCGAAGAGGGCTGCTTATTAGCAGAGGGTTTAAGCATTAGTACACAAACTGTCCAGAAGTCTTTTAGCTCTTTTCTGGAACTTTGGCTGAATTCTGGATAGCTGCCATTGCTAGACAGATAAATGATACGTTAAACAATTTATCTCAGCTACTCATCCAGCACCCAACACAAAAATATCACTAGCAGGCAATTAATTTTAAGCTATAATAAAGCCATAACTTCTTCAACTGTTATTTACTTACATACTTTGGAAAAACCACCCTTTTTACCTTCAGCCTCTAATTAAGTATAGTGGGCTACTTTCAGTCCTACTAACAGATAGCGACTGTAGCTGAGTTTAGAAATCCTATAATCCCAGGGCCTGGTTTCTTAAACCACAGCACAATTCGAACAAGCTGAAAAGTAGCAGTAAAACTATAGTCTCAGACCCCACAACTGACCCCCAGGAAGGCAAATACTTTCAGGCCTTCAAAATAAAAGCTGATCCCATGTGTACCCACTTGGCCAGAGTCTCAGGCTTGATGAGGATGTTAAAGTAGGTCTTCTTCAACTGCTGTGTTATCATTGCAAAGACAGCTGATGTGGAATCAAACTCCGCTAAGTAATCAATAATGAGCTGAAACAGTAGCTAAAAAGAAAAGAAACAAGCACTTTAAGTGGAGAAGCATGGAAATCCACTACGTTTTTTTGGATGGTGGGATGATTTTCATTGGTTTTTACCAGGGACCCAAATGGTAATAGGCATTGTGAGAGACCTAAAAGAAGTATGTACTAATGATTCAAAGAATTTCCAGGGGCTAAAATCCTCAATAACCATCAAATTTGGAGCAATGATTCTTCTATTCTTATAATTTTCATGGGTATTCTTAAACATTTTTTTTCTTATGAACTTGAAAATAATTTTGTCCATAACCCAAATGCCCTCCCAAATAATTGGGAGTAATTGCATCCTATATAGTAATATGCAAATTGACCATCACACCCTCACAAGATGGTTGCCTATGACCAGGCTGGCAGGGGGGTTAGTAAGGGACAATCAAACGACTGAACAAGTAGGCTGTGTGGGGCGACCAGGCTGGCAGGGGGAGCAGTTGGCTGGCAGGGGGCAATTAGGCTGGCGGGGGGGGGGGGGGGTTGGGGGACAGAGAGGGGTGACTAGGCTGGCAGGAAGGACAGTTGGGGGCAACCAGTTTGGGGCAATCAGGCTGGCATGGAGGGGGCAGTGGGGACAACCTGGCTGGCAAGGGGGGGGGGCAGTTAGGGGTGATGAGGCAGGCAAGCTGGTGAGCAATTAGGAGCCAGCAGTCCAGGATTATGAGAGAGGGATGTCTGAGGGGCCCCGGACTGGAGAGGGTGCAGGCTGGGCTGAGGGGACACGCCCCCATGCACGAATTTCTTGCACTGGGCCTCTAGTATTACATATTAATTTTCAAGTAATGACAACTTTCTATCAAGGTGTCCTACACAGAAACATGCTAATTCTCTCCCTTAAAGTCTTTTTTTTAATATGCTTCAATAAGATCTATAGCCCTAGTTGGTGTGCTCAGTGGTTAGAGTGTTGGCCCATGGACAAAAGGGTCAAGGGTTCAATTCCTGTCAAGGGCACAAACCTGGGTTGCTGGTTTGATCCCAAGCCCCAATAGGGACATGTGCAGGAAGCAACCAATTGATGTCTCTCATATCGATGTTTCTCTCACTCTCTCTCTCCACCCCTCCCTTTCACCCTATCTAAAAATCAATGGGAAAATATCCTTAGGTGGGGATAAAAAAGAAAAACAATCAAGAGCCCTGGCTGGTGCTCCATGGTTAGAGCATCAACCCACAGACCAATGGGTTGTGGGTTCAATTCCCAGTCAAGGGTATGTTCTTCAGTTGCAGGCTTGATCTTTGGCCAATGGACATAAATGGGAGGCAACTAATCATTGTTTCTCTCTCTTACCTCCTCCTCTCTATCTCTCCCCTTCTGTCCCCCACCATTTTTTCCACTCTCTAAAAATCAATGAAAAAAATGTTCTAACTCTCCAGGTGAGGATTAAAAAGAAAAAAAGAAAAAAAAAATCAATAGGAAAAATATTCTCAGTTGAGGATTAACAACAACAAAAAAGGTTTATAATTTTATTTGGACTAGTTCTGCATTTTTCTTATTTCTTCCTACGTTATTTGTTGTTGCTTTTTTCATTATAAATATTTCCATACATTTCTAAGTAGTTATTGCTACTAAAGGAAAAAGAGCCATTGATTTGGATATACTGATCTTGTGACAAGCCACATCACAAGTTATTTTTATAATTTTAGTAGCATCTTAGGCTTTCTAAGAATACAACCATATCATATGCAAAGAAAAATATTTTTACTTTTCCAAGTGTTTTTATTTTATTTACTTTTTTCACTTTAATGTAGTAGCCATTGCAAAACTTGCTTTATTGTGGTGGTCTAGAACCAAACCCACAAAATTCTGAGGTCTCCCTGTCATGCTTCTCATTCAAACTGTTATTTATTCATCAACTTCCTAATACTGGAACAACCAACCTTTTGTGTTCCTGGCACTTGGTCATAGTGACATATTCTGTTAATTTTCAAATTTTTTAAAGTTTGCATCAACATTTTACAGGTAAAATTGGTCTTGAGTTTTATATTTTTATATTCTATCTCAGGTTTTGATATTAAAGCTAGGTAAGAGTCATAAAATGAAGATCCTCAAATACTTTTCTATGGTCTATATTTTGAAAAGCTGTCTTCTATTTAGGATTTAATCTGTTTGGATCTTAAGCTACATTATAGGAAGGCCATTGAAAGTTGACAAAAGTAAAATATTCCATGGTATATCCTCCTAAGACCAATAAATATTTGTCCTCTGAGGAGACGGACAGGGATGAAGTATAAAGAGAACTACATTATTTACTAGCATTGTTGCTAAGATATGGACACTACCATCTCTTCACACAGATCTAACTTCTGCCAGGTCCTTTCCTCCAGATTTTTTTTGTGTGAGCCAAGTTCCCCAAACCTTAATATATGGTTTTAGATCTTATTTTATATTGATTTCTACCTGAGAAATCAAGATATAAAATTTGTTATTGGTACATTATATTACTTTCCTAGTATTTAATGATCTAATCCTCTTAGCTAGCACTCCATATTATCTCTTCTGCTTATGGAGTTTTAGACAAAGTGACACTGAAACACATTCCTTACCAAAAGACAAACTACTGATAGGATACAGGATCCTGTTTCTAAAAGGCTCATAAACTTAGAACTAAGAAACAAAATACACATACTTGAAACAATGAGATAGAGTATAAGAGGAAGAAAGAATACAAACATCTGACTTATACTCTATGTCAGGCATGTGTCATTTGCCTGTCAGTGTTGTATGCATTGCTACTAATTAATATCTGTTGCTCTTATGTGTGGCCAAAGTTAAAATAGCTGTCACCAGCCAAGAAATTGTAATAATAAACATTATTTAATTAATAAACATTTCTTTCTATGTATAGCACTCCATGCAAAGCCTCTATGCTTGGTGCTATGGGACAACAAATATAAATATGAAATTGTAAAGTTCTCTATGAGGAAAACAGCACTTGCACTTACAGGTAGTTTGTGGTTGAATCCTTTCACTCGAATAATTAAACCATGTTCTCCAGCTACCAGCTTATACTCTAGCTGTGCCACATCTGCTTCATAAGCTGGTTCCGCAAGGTTATGGGTGAGGATATTAACAAAGATATCAAAGAGGACCACACTGAGAATATAAAATGCAAACATCATTGTTAATTGACAAGAAATAGTCATGAAAATATATGCTTTGATTTAGAATAAGAAACTTCACTTTTACAAAGATGTTAACTCACTTCTCCAGAATGTAAAAGTATATACTACTAAGCTCAAGGTAAATACTGCTTACCCAGGACTCAGTTTCACAGGAGCATTATAGACCAACTACCTTCAGAGTGCTGCCCAATCTTTTTCATCTCATGCACATATATAAATGGTCATATTAATGCTGCAGAGTGAGGTAAGTGTAAAAGGCATCAAAGGCAACTAGCCTAAAAGCTCTGACTATTCCTGAGGCCTAGCTTTCCTCACTGACAAATTAAAAATCTGAGGAGAAAGGATGAAGGTAATGTCTTTTTTCTTAAGTGGATATTAATAAATATTAGTGCTGGTTGTCATTTTAAGGTTAGATTTTTAAGAAACACAATATAATTTCTGAGCACCACCTATGTTTTAGGAATTTTTAAAAATATATTTTGATTTTTTACAGAGAGGATGGAAGAGTGATAGAGAGTTAGAAACACTGATGAGAAACATCAATCAGTTGCATCCTGCACACTCCCTACTGGGTATGTATCTGCAACCAAGGTACTTGCTCATGACTGGAATCGAACCTGGGACCCTTGAGTCTGCAGGCCGATGCTCTATCCACTGAGCCAAACTGGTTAGGGCTGTTTCAGGAATATTTTAAGCTCTATGACCTCCTGCAATGCAGCTATTTATATAAACCCTATATAATAAAGAGGTAATATGCAAATTGACCATCACTCCAACACACAAGATGGCTGACCCATGTGGTCAAAGATGGCTGGCAGGGGAGGGCAGTTAGGGACAATTGGGTCAGCAGGGGAGCAGTTAGGCATCAATCAGGCTTGCAGGGAAGTGGTTAGGGGGTGATCAGGCTGGCAGGCAGAAGTGGGTAGGGGCAATCAGGCAGGCAGGCAGGCAAGCTGTTAGGAGCCAGCAGTCCTGGATTATGAGAGGGATGTCCTAGATTGAAGAGGGTGCAGGCTGGGCTAAGGGACACCTGACACCCCCATGCACAAATTTGGTGCACCAGGCCTCTAGAATATAACTAATTTGCTAGGAACAAAGCATACATAATCAGGTTCTCTGGCAGTCTTTAAATACAGAATCAACAGACCCACGAGTCTTCTGGAAGCTAACCCAAACTAATTTCTAAGGAACTACCTTAATCCACTAAGTCTATGAGTCTACATTAGGGGTGTCGAACTCAATCAGAGAAGGGGCCAAAATCTAAAATCCAGCCTAAATCGCGGGCCGAATGGTTTACTGAACAGTCATAAACTGTCATTGTGATGGAAACGCAGCGGAGTGCAGTGATGACAGCGGGCCACATTGCAAGGCCTGGCGGGACGGATTTGGCCCGCGGGCCTTGTGTTTGACACATGTGGTCTACATCATCAGCCTGTTTCAGAAATGAGCACTGTAAATGCAGCAGCCACAGTTCCAGTTCAATATTTAGTATTGATACAAATAATTTGTTTTGGGCACAGAAAAAAATGCATAATCAGCAGCATAGCTCTGATAGAGAAAATGATAAAATGATTCAGAATGAAACAAAATAATTTTCAATAATAAGTATTTTTTCTAGAAAAGAGGTCAATTGCTTACTTTGCTGCAGATTTCTGAATCAAAGGTGAGATCAGATGGAAACGTATATATGCTGAAAGAAAAAAGATTATAGGTAAGAAAATAAAGATCAGAGGACTCAAATATTTTATGTATCTGCTATTTATGCCCAAAATCATGCTTTTTAAAAATTCTGAAATAAGCTACTAATCCTTAAATCCTTATTACATTCTTATCCTTAGAGATTCTTTAAAAAATATTTACTATTCCAAATAATGACCAAAAGGCACACTTTAATCTACTGAAGATTAGATATATAGACAGATACCCAGAGAGACCTATGAATACTCATATTTATCAATAGCATTAGTCAGGGAGAGTGTTTACAGAAATATACATATCAATAACATTAAGGGAGAAATCCCAATGTTCACAAAAAGTTACAACAGAGCCTTTCCAAGGAAGCTGAATAAATGTTAAGAACATTTTTTTTAGGAACTCTCATAAGCTATTCAAAAAAACAAGAACACTCGGGTCTTTAATTCCAGGTTGCTTCAGTAATCTCCTATGCTATGCACAGGAACAGAAAAAATAAGCAACACGCTTTGGGCTACCATGTTGAAGAAAAGGATTTTAGAGTCTGTTTAACTGTATACTATGTCCTCTATTCAGAAAAACAAAACAGTACAGGGAGATAGATATACAGAAAGAGGATATGTTTTTGTTCATTTTAGAGAGAGGAAAGGGGAGAAAGAAACATCAAGCAGTTGCCTCCAGTGTGTGCCCCAACTAGGGATTAAACCCACAACTTGGGCACGTGTCCTAACCAGGAATCAAACCCACAACCTTTGGTGTACGGAACAACACTCCAAACAATGTTCAAAAGTACCTATTCCCTAAGATGGCCCAAAAACCTGCTGTGCTTTCATTAAACTGAAAGTAAAATATCTGAAAAACAATTTCATGTTAGGTTTGAATCTTTATTTCCTAGAATCTGTAGTGTCTACAGGATTTTTGTGATAGCACAGGAACACAATCTTGATCTAACAGATATGCCTAGAAAAGGTATGCAAATGGAAGGGGAAGGAAAAAGGGAGGTAGATGATAGACATAAGGAAAAACATTTTCTACAAAGTGAAGAAACATTTGTAACACTTATTTCACTCCTTTAAGGGATGGAAAATTTTACCTTTGGGGATTTTGAATTTGTTGTCTTTCTTATACCACAGGCAACCTTGTGGTGTGTTCACAATTTTAACAGGGTATTCTGTCTCAGGAGAATCAAAGGCTTTCAACATGAAGTCCGAGGCTAACAAAAGAAAAGAGTAATAACTCATTCAGACATATTAGCAGGGTTACTAGCAATCCATAATTGGTTTTAGAATTCTAAGTAACTTTTCTTTGTGAAATCTGAAACATTCTTAAAATATTTTTTCTTTATGCAATTAAACATTTTTGCTATTTTCCATTCTAATTGATTTTTTAAATGCTTTCAAAATGATTACACTGACATCACAACCCATTACACTGATTTCACAACCCTCTAATGGGTTGCAATCTGTAGTGTGAAAAACACTAAAACAACCAGATGAGATAATGGTGATTCCTACATATACTGAATGAAAGGATCAGCTATGATAAAGCAAAAACAAATATTTCAGAGATTCCCCAAATCTAAGTTAAAGTCCTGTTTCCTCCATCCACCAACTGAATAGTCTTGGACAAGTTGCTTAGCTTTTTTAAGATTCAGTATTCTTATTCAAAGAAAACAGTAATGGCCATCCCAGTATTACTGGAAACTCAAATACGAATCTAATGATTCTTTGTAAAACATACTGTTCTATACAGGTGATATTTTATGAGAACATGGATGGATTATGTATAATGATAGCTATTTACTGACCTATGTACTTGTTTTCAGCTGGAAGATGAAGATCTGGATTTAATTCAAAATTACTCTTCCACAGTTCAGTCCAAGAGTTTTCAACATCTGTAGAAATAGAAAAACAAACTGATCCAATAAACAATGCAATGTTCAGAATTGTCTCAATAACAAACCAATCAACAACTGGCTTTCACAAATCAATTCTTCTTTCTTAGGAAACCAGTGATTGACATATCTAGGCATTCTAGGCTCTTGCTACTCAGTGTGGTCTTTGCTGCATTGGTATTACCTGGGAGTTTGTTAGAATTGCAGAATCTCAGGCCCCACCCCAGAGCTACTAAATCAAAATCTATATTTTATTAAGATCTCCAGGTGGTACATATGCACACTGAAGAAGTTTGAGATGTACTTTTCTAAAACATATTCAAAACTGCCCTCTAATTATTAAGACAACAGAATTTTTTTACTATCTAATAAATATAGATATAATCATAGCAGGAAATAATGTCCTGCATATATTATATGATAAGTATAAGTAATTTTCATTTCAAAGTAATCTAAAAATACATATACTTTTTCCCTACAGGAATTATCAGACAAATTATTATCTTTTTATTTTATTTTTAAAATCCTCACTTGAGGACATGCTCAGAAAGGAAGGAAGAGGGAAGGGGGTGGCAGAGAGAAAGATACCAAAGTGAGAGATCGAGACCATGAATCAGTTGCCTTCCGTATGTATCCCGATTAGGGATTGAACCTGAAACCTAGGAATATGTCCTGAGCAGGAGTCAAACCAGCAACCTTTCAGTGCACAGGATGACACTCCAACCACCTGAACCACTCCAGCCAGGTATCAGTCAAATTATTAAGAAATAAAAATCCCCAAGTTAGTCAGATACACCTTTATTATGTAGGACAATTATTTAAAATATTTTACCTTCCATACTATACTGAGTTCCAAACCACTTCTCCTTGAGGTCACATTTTCCCTCATTAGCACCAGACAGGAGAACGAGATTTGCTTTATGAGGAACTAACTGATTAAGGGCTTCTGCAATGACCTAATAAGAGATGGGAATGGGGAAAGAGACACATTAACAACTGTAACCTATACATCTCTGTTAAAAAAGTAAAACCACATTATGTTATGTTAAACACCCCAAGATTTCGATATAAATGAAAATGTTTATAGTGCAGGAACACCCTAATTTATAAAATTTCATTAAACTATTTATTTTCTTTTTTAAATGTTTCTACAATAGATAATACTATATAAGCAGTACTCATCTCCAATCATATATAGAAACGGTATTACCAGTAAAAATAAGTTATCACTAAGTTTTTATATGTGTGAGATAATGTTTAACATATGCTATTTCCTTTAATTCTAAAAACAATTCTAAGGCTGAAACTGGTTTGGCTCGGTGGTGGAGCATCGGTCTGCGGACTGAAGGGTCCCGGGTTCAATTCCAGTCAAGGGCATGTACATTGGGGATGTGCCCTGGCAGTTGGTCGATGTTTCTCTCTCATAGACGTTTCTAGCTCTCTATCCCTCTCTCTTTCTCTCTGTGAAAAATCAATAAAATATATATTTTAAAAAATAATAATAATAAAATAAAATAAAAACAATCCTAAGGTACACCAATTTTATAGAAAATAACATAGCTTCAGAGGTTAAAGATAATTTGCTCAGGATAAAGATTATGTAATCTGTGCAGAATGCAGCTAGAAGTAACAAAATGTTTGTACATGATCCCAAAGAAACAGTAAAAACAGTAAAAACAATCCCAATGTTGGGCCTACTTCAATAATCTTTAAGCTATGACAAGGACTAAAACAAGATTTTATGGGTTAGTTTTGAAATGCTACTTACCATTTAAATATCATTTCTTTGAGGAAAAAATGACAAATGGTAGTTCAGAAAAAAGCATTTGGACTGTTTGGCACAACCATCATGGGGAGGTGACGAGAAGGTTATGGTTGCTGCTTCTTCCTTTCCCTTTCCCTGCCCTCTTTAAAATCAGTAGTTATGTTTTACCTTACATCGAAGTTTCTCAAGCTTAGCATTATTAACATCTTGGACCAGATATATTTTGTTGTGAGGTGCTGTCTTCAGCACTGTAGGATATTTAGCCATATCTCTGGATTCTATCCACTAGATGCCAAGAGCAAACACAATATGACAACTGAAATGTTTCTAGATATGGACAAATCTCCCCTAGGGGCAAAATCACCCCTGTGAGAACTGTTACTCTATAAGAAACGAAATTACTTGTTTCCCAGGAACAGTGAAGGAATGTTCCTGACCAACTTTATGTGTATGTAGTGTTTTCTATAAATCATATATATTTTGAATTCAGTGACTCTATTTTTCTGGTAAATATTTCCAAAATGATTAAAATTTAATTGTGCAGTGTCTCCAATGGAATTAAAGGGTAAGGCTAAACAACTCTCTAAGTATGCTTAGCAACCAAAGCACATAATTTTTAGGAATCACTTGAACTATTTAAGTAGATGTTTCAATACTTGAAAAATGGTGACAATAGTACCTAAGAAAAGGAATTCGTTTTCTTTTATAAAAACATAATCATATACAAGTATCATGGAAAATTATCCACAAAACTATTAAAATTTCTTCGATTTAAACAACTAAGACACAACTAAGTACAATTAAGTTTTCTCCATTCCCATAGTTCTTAAGCACTTTCTCAACCTTCTTTCTCTAAATGTTAAGTATTAGAAATGGAAACCTCCTTACTTCTGGCTTGTATTCAAAAAGAAGCTGATCTCCAGTGAGAAAGTCCTGCAGAGGGTACAGCTGCATGTTTTCGCACATGTTTTCCACATACTCAACAGGATCTGTCTGAAAAGAGGTAAAATTATTTCACACCAGAAACTCCCCATCATTATTCTTAATTTGCCACAAATACTTTTTTCTCTTTTTTAAAAAAAAGGATGCATCAAAGCTTCTGAATTGATAGGCCCAAACATAACTGCAGCTTAAGAAACTGATGGTCAGAATTCCAAAATGATATATAACCAGAGCTACTACCTTAAGGAGCTTAGCACACCTCCAAACACCTTTCCTGAACCCTCCCACAAACCAGGCCCTAATGATGTCACAGCCTCTTGATGAGAACAATCACAAGACTGAACTGTAAAATCACAATATGGGTTTTTTTATATGTCAAGTGCCCAACAATGCAGTGAGGTCCCTAAAGACAGGATCTTCATCATTTTAATCACTGCAGCACTATCACCTAAAAGATACCTGTAGCCCAACCGGCATGGCTCAGTGGTTGAGAGTTGACCCAGGAACCAGGAGGTTGCTGGTTCGATTCCCATTCAGGGCACAACCCTGGGTTGTGGGCTCCAACCCCAGTAGGGGGTGTGCAGAAGGCAGCCCATCCATGATTCTCTTTCATCATTGATGTTTCTCTCTCTCTCCCTCTCCCTTTCCCTCTAAAATCAATAAAAATATATTTCAAAACAGTAATAAAATAAAAGCTATTTGTAACCATGAGCCAAATTTAATGTCAAAATCAAAATGTGTGATTAGATAAATCTATATAAAAAGTTGTATTAATCAACATATTATATTATTTCAATTTAATGCACAGAATCTTGAACCAAGTGGAATCAAGTGGTCCATTCCCACGTTTTATAATGAGGACATATATTCAAACTGATTAGATAATTTGCCTGAAGTCACACAGTGAAAAAGTGACAGTTTAGATACTAGAACTCAGACCTCCTAACATAGTAATGAACACTCTTTCCAAAACACCACACTACCCAGTCCTTTACTAGACAATATGGGTTGTTCTCACAGCTAATTGAAGACAAAAAGAAGTGAAGGTTACTGCATCCCTGGAGGAAAAATGAGACTAACATCCATCAAATTAGAGACCACAGGAATATCACATAAAAACAGAATAAGGAAAAAATAGAATAAGAAAAAAGAGAAAGATTCATTATTAGCCTCACCCACTCATATACTTTAGGAAACTAAGTAAATTAGTAACTAAAGTGCTATTATTTTTTAAAATGACCCCTCCTCTTCTGTTTTAATTTTTTTAAAATATATTTTATTGATTTTTTTATAGAGAGGAAGGGAGAGGGATAGAAAGCTAGAAATATCGATGAGAGAAAAACATCAACCAGCTGCCTCCTGCACACCCCCTCCCTATCAGGGATGGGCCTGAAACCAATGTACATGACCTTGACTGGAATCAAACCTGGGACCTTTCAGTCCACAGACTGAGACTCTATCCACTGAGCCAAACCGGTTTCGGCTGTTTAAATTTTTTTTATCAGTTATTTTTACCAGCCATCTATATATATAAAAGACTAATATGCTGTATCCCTCCTACTGTCCAACTGACATGCACTGACCACCAAGGGGCAGACACTCAATGCAGGTGCTATTGTGACACTGGACAGCACCACAGACCTGGCACCAACAAACCAATACTCAGCTTCCAAGTGGGACACAGGCCCCACCACCACCCCAGTTAGACACCCCACCAAATCACAGCCAATGCTGCCTAGACCCCATGGTGCAAAATGCAGCCCACAGCCCAGTCCAGAAACGGTTGCTGTGGGTTCCAAGTAATGAGGTCATGTAGCAACGCCTGGCTTCCTTTCCCTAGCAACTAGCCTCCTTGCAGCCCAGGAATACAGGTGGAAATATTTCACACTTTAACCAAATGTCTGTGAAGTGTTTTCCCATGCCTCATCTCATTTGATCATCACAGAAGTCCTGGAGTAGGTAGATAGAAGACTTTCTTTCATTAGCTGGAAAACGGAGATTTAGAAAGCTTAGAAACTTGACCCAACTGAAAAGAAGTAAAAAATGATGGATCCTGAAAATGATTTTAGGTTTTCTCACTGCACAGAATATAGTTAAACACTGCTGCAGTTACATATTTTACCCTTTGTTCTCCCTGCATGATCTACAATAATAGTCTGCTTCATGTTGATATTTACTGCTGTGTTGCTGACAATTACCTGAAAGAGAAGTTGGGGTACTTCACTGGGCTGGAAAAAGTTTAGCAAAATCAGAAATCAGGTCTAATTAAGCAACTTTATTCTATATATATAAAAGGCTAAGTTGACTTGAGCTTGCATGATACATATAAAGCTTTTGCTAGTACCATTTCCGTGTGTGTTTTGATCTATCATTGTCAATCGTGAATTTGGTTGACACTTCTATTATAGAGAAAGGGCGAATAGCAATATTAAAATATTTCTTCTAACTGATTTCCTTTCAAAGTGCACAAATTTGTGCACCAGGCCACTAGTTTATAAGTGCTCTAATATGTACGCTAAAAACTGAGTAATTTAAAATATTTCCTATGACAACACATTAAGAATCCTAGCTAAAAGCAGATGTTTGGTGTCAAGGCAAAGAAGGTACTAGGAGGGTACTAGGAAGAACACTTAAATGCTATCCTTTAATTTTTTTAAAGATATAATTCACATACCATAAAAGTCACTTCTAAAGTATATAATTACATATAGAAAATAAGTGTACAATTCAATGGTTTTTACCATATTCACTAAATTGTGCAACCATAACCACTATCTAGTTCCAGAGTATTTTCATCACGCCAAAACGGAAACTCCCCTACCCAGTAAGCAGTTGTTCCCCATTACCTACACCCTCAGCCACTGGCCACTATCAATCTGTTTTCTTTCTGAAATATCTATTCTGAATATTTCATATAAACTGATTCATATAATATGTGACTTGTTCTGTCTGGTTACTTTCATTTAGCATGATGTTTTCAAGGTTCATCCATATTGTAGCATAAAATGAATAATTTATTCCCTTTAAAAAAGTTTTTTTAAATTTATTTTAGAGAGAGAGGAAGGGAAGATAGAGAGATAGAAGCATCACTGAGAACATCGATTGGCTGCCTCCTGCACACTCCCCTACTAGGGACTAAGTCCACAATTCAGGCATATGTCTTGACTGGAAATCGAACTCATGACCTTCTGGTTCATGGGTTGACACTCAACCACTAAGACACACCAGCTGGGCTCATTCCTATTTAATAGCTGGGTAATATTCCACAGCATGGGTAGTCTACTTTTGTTTAACCATTCATTCACTGATGGGCTTCTGGGCTGCTTCCCCTTGGGGCTACCATAAATAATGCTGCTCTAAACAGCTGTGTACAAGCTTTTGTGTAAACATGTTTTCAACTCTCATGGGTATATATCTATCTAGGTGTGGAATTGCTAGCTTATATGGTAACATTATGTTTAACTTTTTAAGGAACTGCCAAACAGTTTTCCAAAGTAGTATACCATTTTATTACATTCCCACCAACAATGTATGAAATTTCCAATTTCTCTATCTTCTCCAACATTTATTGTCTACTCTCTAATTTTTTCACCTAATACAAAGTCTCACTGTCTTCCATTATTGTTATATTGTTCCTGTTTTTCTGCCTACAAAAAGCACTTAAATAGCTTTTCTTGAGTTCACATAGTTGATTTATAATATATACTGAGTCATAGTTCCTATGTAAAATTTAAAAAAATTCTTAATTTCTTAATTTAAAAAATGCTGGTTTGAATAGTTTGAAAAGGGGATACCTATTTACCTTTCTTGATGAAAACTAGTAAAAAGTCTGAAGAGGAGACATTTCAATTTTGTTTAAAAAAGGAAATATATAAATACCTAAATAAGCTGAGCTACTTGAGTTAATTTAGCAGTTCACACAGATATGGACCTTTCTGATTTGTTCTGACTTTGCACTGATTAGGTTTTAATTTAGGTGTTTTGGGCTCATGTTTTAAAATCAAAGTATTCATGAATATTGCTAAAGGTGAAAGCAATGAGTTACAAAATGAGGAGATGGCAGTAAAAAATATTGAAATGCCTTGCTAAGAAGGAACTGAAGGGACAGAAGGAAAATGTCACTAACTCAACCAATGCTAAAAAACAGATTCCCCAAGAAAGGAATTTGGGTGTCACTTATAGTTTTAGTCCACAATTTTTGTTCCCACTCCTTCTCTGCCACAGTACTAGCCCACATGTTGCCACTATAGCTGATAAGAACACTGAATAAAATCATCCTTGGTAAGGTATATAGCAAGATTTGTGGGTTCTATGCATATCAATCTATTTACAGGGAGGAGTGTCTACAGAACACTAATGGACAAAACAAGTCACAGCAGTCTTTCTGTTTTTACAGAATAAGATTTTTATTTCAATTTCAAGTGACTTTAGTATATAGATCAGATTACATAGGAATCAATAGCAAATGGAAGCTCATAGTTTTTGTTACCTTGTTCTCAAGTACTTAAGTTTTCTCTACTTAAGAGTAGATATTCAGGGAATCTTCTTTAGTAATGATCCAAAAAGGTAGGTTTCAAGATGCTCTATGAACACTGGCTGGGTACTCAGTTGGTTGGAGTGTCATCTCAAAATACCAAGGTTGTGAGTTTGAACCCCAGTCAGGGCACATACGACCAATGAATGGATAAATAAGTGGGACAACAAATCTCTCTCTCAAATCAGTAATTCTAGGGTCCATTGACACCTCCACAAGATATCAGTGTACAAATGCAGGAGGGCATGGTAATAATATAAGAATATGGTTGAAAAGGAATTATATATTTATTTTCACAAATCTCTAATTTAGGATTTTTATTCAATTATGAATATGGCAACAAACCACAATAGTGTTAGTAGCATCAATGACTATAACCAATAGAAATCGCAGTATAATTGTTGCAGATATTTTAAAATATCACACTCTTTGCTACTTAAAAACTGTAATAATTATTAGACCTACCACTAAAACTTATTCACTGTATTAATAAAAATAGGATATTTTTAAAGTACTTTATTTCAATATTTCTTTGGAACTACTGTATTTTACTTTGTGCACCTAGAAACACTATTCTATGAACTGTGTAATTAATAGTATTGTTTCTTTTTTTTTTTAAATATATTTTTATTGATTTCAGAGAGGAAGGGAAAGGTAGAGATAGAAACATAAATGATGAGAATCACTGATCAGCTGCCTCTACATGCCCCCAATGGGGGATCAAGCCTGCAACCCAGGCATGTGCCCTGACCAGAAATCAAGTCATGACCTTCTGTTTCATAGGTCGATGCTCAACCACTAGGCCATGCCAGCTGGGCCAATATTGTTACAATGTTAAATTGCCTGAATATGACAATTTTGGTCAGATTATGCAAGAGAATACATTTGTTTGTAGTAGATGTATGCTTTAAAATGTAGGGGCAAAGTACAGTAATATCTATAATTAAATCTCAAATGTTTTGAGGAAAAAAATCCACATACACCCACATATACATATATATAAAGAGAGAAAGAGAAAAAAATAAAATATGGCAAAATATTAGCAATTGATGAATCCTTGTAAGGAATATACCAGTGATCACTGGACTGCTTTTTCTGAGAGTTTAAAAAGTTGGAGGGATGAACTTTTATTCTGAGGAAGGAGGCGTAGGATTGAACAGATTTCAAAAGGAACTCAAGGCACAAAAGTGTTTTTTCTTTAAATCCTGTTCTAAATTCCTTACCTTTCAGCCTTACATAATACCTTTCTTTCATATACCCTGTGCCACAGACACGTAGGATCATTCACTTTTTCATATTATCCCAGAGTTCCCCACTGATGTGCTTCCTATTGCTTAGAATGCATCCAAACCTTATCCATGTTTTTTTTTAAATTTTGATTGATTTTAGAGGGAGAAAGAGTGACAGAGAGAGAGGGATAGAAAGAGATAGAGGGAGAGCAAGAGAGAGTGTAGTATCTCTCTCTTAGCTGTGTTACCCATTCAAGCATTCATTGGTTGATTCTCTCTTTTATGTGCACTGACTGGGGATGGAACCCACATATTGGACAACGCTCTAACCAACTGAGCTACCCAGCCAGGGCCAAACCTTAAGCATTTTTTAATCCTGAACTTAATTCAAATTTATCAAATCCATGAAACCCTCCCTAGCATATTCCAATCAAGACAAATGCTCTCCTTACCCAGAAATCCTAGAATGCACGGTTTCTAACATTATATATGTTTATTACTATTTATTATCTTATAGAATCTCTTTACAAATATTTGAATTCCCCAAATATTAAGTACCATACTAAGCTCTCCATGAATGTTTATCGAAGGGATAGACGGATGCCCACACAATATGATTTGTGTCAATCTGCCTAACCCCAGTATAAATACTCAAACACATAGAGTTAACTTTCAGATAGACAGAAGGCCATCTTGAGATTCACATGACAGAGAGAGGCAAAATTAGAATTCCAGTGACACTTTCAAAAAGAGGAACAATATCCACACCAGTTTCAACTTGGTCAGATAAAACTTTCAAAAAGAATTTGACTTCTAGTACCTGTTCTTGGTAATGGAACTCATTGTCCTCAATTTTCTGAATCTCTTCAAAAATTCTATGAAAGAAGAAAATTACAATTATAAAACATATTAAAATTTCTCATTAGAATTGTCAGCAAGAAAAGAGAAGCATAAAAATAAGCATTCTGGCCATTAACGTGTAGAGAATAAGACTATGAAGCCAATATAGGAAATTAAGTAGGAAATGCCTGAAAAATGATAAAAGCAGGACTAAAACATGTCTACCGGCAGCCTAAAGGCTAAAACATACTAGGATTAACTCCTGGTCTGATTGTAATAAGTATATATTACCTTTTTTCTGGGCCTAGCTTCTGCAGCATTTTTAAATACTGGAAAACAGTATGAGCCACCTAAAAACAAAACATCTGATTACATTTTTGCATAAAGTGATATCTATATTTTTAAAACCCTCCATTTTAATTATTTACCTCATAGAAATGTTCATAACCCTCATCAGTCAATGTAATAGAAATGCTGAACACTGAGTAAGTAGAATTTTGCTCAAATCCTGTCTCACCATTTCCACCAAAGAGTGCAAGAGCCCAGCACCTATAGTCAGAAAAAATTAATCCAATCAATATATTGGGACTCATAATCTGCATATACATCAAATTACAAAATAGGTAAGCTTTCTTTGTAAAACTTGGGGAAGTTCAGCCTTTGATGCAAACATGCTTTCCAACAGTAAGTTTAAAAGTACAAATTTTAAAAGCACAAAGCCTTCCAAGGAATTGCAGTACATTTGGGAATCATAACAGGAAATTATAGCCTAATTTATTTGTTTAATAGAAAGAAACACTTATATTACAAAATAGTAAAACATTAACAGTTTTATGAAGCAATAGTAATTTTTGTTGAAGATAGAGCAAAATATTAAGAACCTAAAGCAAGGAGGGAGAAAGCCAGAAGAGAGTGGAAAACTCTAATAATATTAGTAAGGTAGAAAGGTTATGCACATCTCAAAGCATTTTACATTTATTGTGTAAGACATATATGTACCTAATATCATTATTATTTTATAATAACCCTGCCCTCTCAGCTTTCTTTGAATGTTCTATTACACACTAATGTTTTAAAGTACTTATTTAAATTGATCATGTACCTTTCCATTCTTGAATTAGTGTATAAAAAAGTTAAACAAGGAATTACTTTAATGTATTTGTCCTGATGCTAAAGCAATTATTTATATTATTTGACTAGACAATTTAAACACATACCTAAATGCATTAGGAAACATTCTGCATACTAGTATACTGTTCACAGTCCCACATAATTTTATGATTTATTTGTCCAATGAAGTTCTCATTAGTCTACCTTTTGGGGTGAGAAAGCTTGAAGATCCTCAGCATGCATGCATGCATACATACATTCATTCATTTTCTCTCTTTCATTCATTCATTCATTCATTGTTAATCCTCACCCAAGGATATTTTTCCACTGATTTTTAGAGAGAGTAGATAAGAGAAACCTCAATGTGAGAGAAACACATCTATTGGTTGCCTTCTGCATGAGCCACGACTAAGACCTGGGCTGGGGAGGTGCCTGTAACCAACATTCATGCTCTTACCGGATTTGAACCTGGGATCTAATCTGTAAGGTGATCCTCAACATTTAAATAACTGACTTCCTTCAAATCTAAATGCTTGGTTAGAGCTAACTTTTGATGTAATTCTATAATCTATTACTTTATGATTTTTTAATTTTTGTGTACAACTACTTCCAACATGAACTAAAAGGGGATCTCCAAGGAAATACACAAAATATAAAACAGCCAAAAAATAATCTAGGTTAACCCTAACAGGTTTGGCTGGGTGGATAGAGTATCGTCCTGTGGACTGAAGGGTCCCACAGTTCGATTCCAGTCAAGGGCATGTATCTTAGTTGCAGGCAAAGCCCCAATAGGGGGTGTACAGGAGGCAGCTGATCGATGTTTGTCTCTTATCGATGTTTCTAACTCTCTACAAAGAAAAATCAATAAAATATGTATTTTAAAAAATAATAATAATCTAGGTTAACCCTGTATAGTGTGGTTCAGTTGGTTGAGCATCGTCAATGAACCTAGAGGTCACTGGTTCAATTCCCAGTCAGGGCAGGTTCAATCCCTAGTTGGAGTGTGTGCAGGAGGCAACTGCTTGATGTTACTCTCTCACATCAATGTTTCTCTTTCTCTCTCTCCCTCTCCCTTCCTCTCTCTCTAATAAGTCAATAAAAATACATTTTAACTAAATAAAATTAGTTATTAAAGTGACTTTAAGCATTAGATTTGATTCTAGGCTTTCTGGCTGATGAAGCAAAAAGAGAAAAGAATGGGTTATATTAACACTTATTGTTTATTATTTTTCAGAGTTTGCGATAATTCATTAATTGAATACTTGCTTTTTTCTAAGGTAAGAAAGAATGCTGCCAATGCCTTCATGTCCAACCAGCCAAGAAATATAATGAAGTGGCTTTACCCTTTAAAAAAGAAATATTAAGGTTAGAAATTTTTTTAAAAAAGGTATTAATACACATACTCCTGAGACTATGATATTTGAGAATATAATTATAAACCTATTCTTACATAAATTCTACTACACATGAAAACATAATTAATTTGATAGCAGGATAAAAACAGGAAAAATGGTAAAATTGAACTTCACCTGAAATCACTGAATGAGTATAATCATTCCAAAATTTAAGACTACTAACTTTTCTCTTGAACACCAAACTTACTTCTCTTCATAATAAAATCTTTCATTTTTGTTTCACTCAAAGTGAAATATAGATTTTTTAAAATCATTTTAGGACCTAATGCAATATGAATCATTCTGCATCTATAAAAGCTTTCAGTATTCCATCATGCTCTTCAGTAAACTAAAATGTGTTGCTTTAAGGGTCAGAAAATCTAAGTTATAGTTTTAGTTTTTCCTTTAAGTAAATGCTCTTGAGCAGGAAGCTTAGCCTCTCTATATTTTTCTTTTCCTCTTCATTTATCCAACTACTTTCTCATTTTTATGAAAATGCTTTTATTATATAATAACTAGAGGCCCATTGCACATTCCTGCATCAGTGGGGTGCCTAAGCCTGGCCTGCAGGATCAGGCTGAAACTGGCTCTCCGACATCCTGAGAGGTCCTGGATTGAGAGAGGGCACAGGCCAGACCGAGGGACTCCACTGGTGCACGATTGGCACTGGGAGGGACGGAGGAGGTTGGCCAGCGGGAAAGGGCTGTGGAAGGGCTCCAGGGCATGTCCAGCCCACTTCACTCAGTCCTGATCTGCTGGACCCTCTGGTGGTCAGTGCACGTCATAGCAAGCAGTTGAGCAGCCTTAGCATATCATTTGCATATTATACTTTCACTGGTTAAATGGCCGATCAGACACTAAGCATATTAGACTTTTATTATATAGGATATTCCTTAATAACCTGAGTAATTATATATTATGTTATTCACATTGTGTTTTCCCACTAGATTCTACTATAATTTCAGAAATATATTTCTACCAAAACAAAATACAGAAAAAATATACTGGGTTAGGAAATTTAACATTCTTGAATTTTTACTTCACAGAATTACATTCAGTAAACTTTTAAAGTCAAAATATAATATGATTTCAACTATGTTAAGCAAACCCCAAACCAACACAACACTGTTGAAAGTCAAAATTTAAATTACATCTATAGTGAGACTGATGGAGGGGAGCAAATCAGTTAAAGAATAAACACAGCTGATTACATATTCACAAATGAACAAAGCTAATTGTACTATATTTGGTATCTCTGGAGGGATAAACACTTGATTTTTGTGAAAAAGGGGCTCCCAAAAAAAGCTCATTTACTGGGAATTCACGTAGTTGGAAATGCAAAATAACTCAAAAATCAAAACACAAAAAACAATAGAAGGAAACATACAAAAATGTTAATGGCCTTTGGAAAACCAAATCATGAATAAATTTTTTCTACTTTTCAGTAAATTTCAAGAGTTCTACAATGAATCACCTTAATAATCAGTCAGATGGTCAACAGGTTTTGTTAATTAAAAAACAGAAAATGTGCCTGGCTAGTATGGCTCAGTGGTGAGCATCAATCTACCTATGCACCCAAAGGTCAGTTAGATTCCCAGTCAGTGTACATGCCCAGCTTGTGGGCCCATCCCCAGTGTGGGGTGTACAAGAGATAGCTGATAAATGATTCTCTCTCATCATTGATGTTTCCATTTCTCCTTCTCCCTTCTTCTCTGAAATCAATAATAATATTTTTTAAGCCCTAACTGGTTTGGCTCAGTGGACAGAGCATTGGCGTGTGGACTCAAGTGTCCCAAGTTCAATTTTAGTCAAGGGCATGTACCTTGGTTGCTGGCACACCCAGGGTAGGGGGTGTGCAGGAGGCAGCTGATCATTGTTCCTGTCATCAATATTTCTACCTCTTTATCCCTCTGCCTTCTTCTGGGTAAAAAAGCAATAAAATATATTTTTGAAAAATAAATAAATAAAAATAAAGTAGAAAATGTGATCTCACTCATATGTGGAACCTAAAGAACAAAAATAAACTGATAAATGAAATAGATTCAGAGACAAAGAAACATGGAACAGACTGTCGAATCTCAGAGGGAAGGCAGGGGTGGGGGTGGGAAGAGCTTAACCAAAGAACCTGTATGTATATATGCATAACCCATTAACACGGACAATAGTGTGATGAAGGAGAAAACCAAGATGGCGGCATAGGTAAACACCTGAACTTACTGCCTTACACAACCACTTTAAAACTACAACTAAAAGACAAAATGGAAATCATCTAGAACCACAGGAAGGCTGGCTCAGTGGAAATTCTGCAACCAGAAGGGAAGAGAAAAGCACAGACTCAGAGGAGCTGCAGAAGTAAAGTGCAGAGATAGTGAGGCGTGCGTGCACACACGCAGAGAGGGCTGGCAACTGAGTAAACAGCTGTCTTTTTCAAGCGGGAGGGAGACACAAGCTCTCGACTGCTTTCAACTCCAGTTACGGGCAAGACGCTAGGTACCCAGACTTACATAGAGGGAAACTGAACTCTCTGGCATTGAGTGGAACTTGAGGGTGGCTTTCTCTCAGAGGTGTTTGCAGCAAGTATTGAGGGACACTGAGAACCAGGGGCCTCTTAGGTCAGGGCTGATAGGAAGCCATTGCTGTTTGCTCCGCCCTGAGACTCTGCCCCATCCAAGCTGTTCCCAGAGGCTTTTGCATATGAATGACCTGGTCCTTTGAAATCTAAACTTACCTAACGAACTGCAGCTGAGTCAGAGAGACCCAGAACATTCAAAACAAGGCCCAAGGCCCCACAGCATCTTGCATTGCTTCACAGCTGGGCCTCATCTGGGCACCTCCAAAACCCAAACAAAGAAGAGGAATCTGCAGATCTCTCCATAACTCCTGGTGGGTGGCCTCAGACAGAGGCTAAATTAGCACCTTCTTGGAAATCAAGAGCCAGTGTACCCAGGGTCAGAGTAGGACCATCCAGATTACAACTCCTCAGATCCATAAGCGACACATTCAGGAGAAAGACTCAGTGAGCACCAAAGCTCCACTGAAGCAAGTCTTGCCTCATAAGGGTGTCTCCAGCACAAAAGTTCTCCCATCATAGACACAGCTGATCCTTACAGCCAATTGGCCTAGAGGTCAATTCCCCCTAGTGATACCAACAATAGTCAAGGCTTAACGACAAGAAGACTGTGCACACAGCCCACAAAGGAGTGCACCAAGAGTGTCAACCTCAGGTAACTGGGATGGCTGAGCCACTGGACCCTATAGGACACCTAGCACACAAAGCCACTCTATCAACTCAGGGAAGCAGCCAAAACGCAGAGACAAATAAAAAGGTCACAAATGAAAGAAATGGAAGAAAGCAAATGATTGGATATAGAGTTCAAAACCACGGTTATAGTGTTTTTCTAGAAAATTCCAATAAATTTAGTGAGACTCTCTAGGATATGAAAAAATAAGCATAGAAATTAAGCATACACTGATTGAAATAAAGAATAATATACAAAGATTCAACAGCAGAGTAGAGAATCGCAAGAATCAAGTCAAAGATTTGAAATAGAAAAAAAGCAAAAAACACCCAACAGGAAAAGAAAAAAGAAAAATGAATCCAAAAGTATGAATATAGTGTAAGAAGCCTCTGGGACAACTTCAAGTGTACCAACATCAGAATTATAGGGGTGCCAGAAGAAGAGAGAAAGCAAGATACTGAAAACCTATCTGAGGAAATAATGACCAAAAACTTCCCCAACCTGGTGAAAGAAATAGAGTTATAAGTCCAGGAAGTGCAGAGAACCCCAAACAAAAGGAATTGAAAGAGGACCACACCAAGACACATCATGATTAAAATGCGAAGAGCAAAAGACAAAAAGAGAACATTAAAAGCAGCAAAAGAAAAACAGTTAGTTACCTAAAAGGGAGTACCCATACTATTGTCAGCTGATTTCTCAACAGAAACTATGCAGGCCAGATGGGAGTACCAAGAAATATTCAACATGATAAATAGCAAGAACCTACAACCAAGATTACTCTACCTAGCAAAGCTATCATTCAGAATTGAAGGTCAGGTAAAGAGCTTCACAGATAAGAAAAAGCTAAAGGAGTTCATAATTTCCAAACCAGTATTATATAATATGAAATGCTAAAAGGTATTCTTTAAGAAGAGGAAGAAGAAGAAAAAGGTAAAGATAAAAATTATGAACAACAAATACATATCTATCAACAAGTGAATCTAAAAATCAAGTGAATTAAAAATCTGAGGAATAGAATAATCTGATGAATATAATAGAATCAGGGATATAGAAAGGGTGTGGACTGACAATCCTTGGGGGGAAAGGGGTGTGGGAGGTACAGGAAGAGACTGGACAAAAATCATACACCTATGGATGAGGACAGTGTGGGGAGGGTAAAGGACATGGGGTTGGGTGGAAACTGGGTGGAAGGGAGCTATGGGGGGAAAAAGAAGAACAACTGTAATAATCTGAACAATAAAATATATTTTTTAAATAGTGTGATGAAAGCCTGGGGTAGGAGATGGGTGTAAGCTAGAAGGGATTAATGAGGAGGGGAGGGGACATCTGTAATACTTTCAACAATAAAGGTTTTAAGAAACAGAAAATAATATGTATTTTATATTCATTATTTTAACGTCTGAATAATATAAAGCTATTGATAATGGGCCTATCTTTGAGGACAGAGACCAACCAAGAAAAGGAGAAAGCAAAGTTTTATTTTTTATTTACTATCTTTTGTCCTATTTTAACATTTTACAAGCATGCATTATTTTCATAGTAAAAATTCAAAACAAATAAACTTTTAAATATGCATGTAATAATGTTAACACTTTTGGGGTCACTAACATAACTATACAATCAATGTATATTTTTTGTATATTATCCTTTTGAATGTTCTAATACATACATTTTTTTAAAAAGCAATTTTTACTTTTAAAAAGCAATTTTTACTTTTACTGCACTTAGGTAATGCACATTAGTTTCTTTCCTTCTGCTTATTGGTGTGTCCTCGTAGTTTTGTTTTATTGGTAATAGTTTTAAAAATAGGTTAAATTTTTATCAGTTTATTAGCATTTGTTTCTAATTAGAAAAGTATTTATAGGCATTGGCTGATCTTTATTTTTAAAGAATGTCTTGGCCCATGCTATATTGTTCAAATAAGGTAACTATATAAGTAAGATGAAATGTTTTCCTAATTTACATAAATCTGCTCTAACTCATTCCCATAAATCTGCCCCAACTCATAGGACTAAGTCCTTGATATTTATGCTGTAGTCATATTCTATATAAATTATAGAATTATATATAATATATAGAATTATATATAGTATAATATTATAGAATTATATATACATTATATAATTATATATGTGGGTTATATATATAATTATATGATATATTATATATAGAATTATATATCATTTTGAGCCTAGAATATGAAAGCCAAGAGACCAGGACTCCAAACGACCAGAATGACTAAAACAACCAGTCACTAAGATGTACACTGTGGCTGGCCAACCGGCCCAATTGAGGGTCGGCCAGCCAACCTCCCATGCCTCCTTCCCCCTGCTGGCCTGGCTCAACTGGCCCCCATCAGGGCAAACTGGCCAGACCCTACCTGTAGGCAAATTTGTGCACAGGACCTTTAGTTTAACTATATTTTTGACAAGTTCAAACTAAATGGTCCCAATGAAAGCAAATATATATTTTGTACTCAAAGTAGCAAAGAAAATAATTACAAAAGTTAGTATTCACACTAAGCTACTTAATTTCGACTCAGGAAAGGCAACCAGTTACAAGATAATTCTAGTATTTATACCCAAGAAATTAAAATACTATTAGCCCAGCACACGAAATCCTGCAAAACCCAGAGCCCTGCCCACTGGCACCACCACGTGACCCATCAATGCACCTTCTGGTGAGTCCAGTCATTGGTCATTACGGTGTGACAGCATTAGGGCCACAAGCCTTTTATAATATAGATATAGCAAGGCTTGACAAACTTAGTGGTGAGGTCTCAGTTTACCACATTACCAGTGTTTATAAATTCAGAACTCCCAAAGTTAAACCATTTAATATGCTTTAAAATATGACTGCCATTCAGTGGTTAATAGGAGTAAATTTGCTCTTGAACTCTTACCTGTAATGTTGCTGTTGAGGGGGAAGTGCCCACGTGATGGTCAGAGCATGAATTTTTCTAATTGGAACAACTAAAAAAATATGTGAAGAACAAATATAAGACTTTCTCCATAACTATGACTATGAAATTTTTTTAATTCAACAAATTTCATCCTCCAATAAACATGGTAAGGTTAAATACACTACAATTACTATTTCAAGTTGCCTATTTTCCAATTTGAATAATGCAATTTTTGGAACTTTCTTTTCAATTTGGTTTCACAGGTAGAGTAGGCATGGATAAAAGAACTATCAAAACATCCAATGCTCCTAAAGATGGATTCTTTATTGCAAGAAAGGATACAAGACTAGTGAGTCAGGAGACCCATGGTTGAAATCCAGCCCTACCACTATCTTGCTATACAAGTTTATATAAACTTGAGAAAATCATTTGAATTTAAATCTTTTTGGCTCTGTTTTCTTATGGTAGGTGAGGAGTTTAAGCTGCAGTAGCTCTAAGATTTTTTGCAGTGCTATTATTTTATGATTCTATGAAGAGAAAATCTAAAGCCAGAAAGAATAGTACCAAATATAAGTCAGCTTAGATATGGCACCAACAGCAGACAAAGGGTGTGACAAAACAGTCACTTATCAGAGGGAGGGAAAAGGGAAGAGACTGACAATGGGGTGAAAAAGGAAGGAGGAATACTTAGGTAACTAGGAGAAAGAAAAAAATAATAGAAACAGCAAAGAAAGATAAATGCCATAATAAAAACAGCAAAGAGAAATGGTGAATTTTAAATGTTTTTGCAATATTTGTTATGGGCAAATTGCTAAGTAAATTATAGTATAAACATGTGATGGCTTATTGGCCAGTTATTACAAATGTAATATTAAATAAAAATCAAGAAATAGAATGTATATACTTTACAATCTCAACTACATTAAGAAAATATACCTAGAGAAACTCAAAAGGAAATCTGACAAAATGACTTGTCTGTATGTTAAGATTTAGGGGTGGTTTTCCCTCCTACTTATAGCTTTACAAATTTTTCTTCACTTAAAATGTTGTTGTTTTTTATAATAAAGATACAAGAAATAATTTCCTAAATGTGTTCCCTTCTTCTATTTCTTTCTTTTTAAAAGAAAAAAGAGAGCGGAAAATAGATAAAATGAAATAGGAAAGAAACATACAAAAAACAAAGGACAAAAGGGAACAAGGGGAAAAAGGGAGAAAGCATAAAACAGACTCAAGTAGCAGCAGATCAATCAACCTGCTGTTTATTAGTGGCTAACTGGATCTCCACTGTCCATCTAATCCCTTTTCAACCTAGCTGTATTTCCTGTTGAGTTTTCATTTCCAAAGAAAATTGGTAGCCTCAATTAGGTTTTAGAGAATGGGCTAAAGTTATTTCAAACAGTTTTAAACCTTTGGTTCACGAACCTCTATAAAGTTTGTTAAATGCTGGTGTGTCAAATGGATCCGTTAAGTGGCCAAAGTTTGGTTTGGGTAACCCACTGAAAAGAAAACAAATACATTAAAATGTAATTGGCAAAAGCCTTTATAAGCAGTATCTTTAGGTATGCCTAACTTTTAAGTTATTTATAATCCATTCTACATATTACTGGCTGAAAAGATTCTAGGCATTAGTGAATAAATGGCAATAAAGCCACAAATTCCTGAATTACACAACCAATTCTTAACCTCAGTCCAAATGACTACAGTATCTTTAAAACTCACAATAAAACAATAAATTAAAGGAACCTCCCCATCCAATATTTATTGCCTTTCTCAACATATTCAACTTCAGTAATCCTCCTATACAAAGCCATTTAAAAAAGCTTGTAATAGAGATAATTTTTTAAATTCAATAAACATAAATGATGTGCTTATTATGTATAAAGCACTATATTAGGAACTTTGGTATTTAAAAGACTTGACTCCCCTGCTAGAAGCTTCCCATCTGGCTGAAGATATTGTAACTAATACTTCTTCTAAAGTAATGGTTAATATGAATAATTTCAAATATCTGGGGAAATTTTTAATCTTTATGATTAAGAAACCAAAATTAGTGAATAATATTTAAGAAAATTTTCAAAATGCTTCTCAGGAATTGGTAGGACCTAATGAATACCTCTATTCAATTATACCTCTCTCTGATTTTTATTAGTAAAGTCTCACAGTGAAACATGTTTCAAACTGCCACCCAACATTTCCTTAACTCAGTGATTTTCTTATCAAAACAAACAAAGAAAAATAAAACTTGCAACTTTGGCATGGCTTTCATTATGTCTGTACATAAAAGTACTGCTAATTACCAATGGATACTAACATAAAGCCAAAATAATAAAACAAATAATTATTACAAATTATTCTAACATTTTTAAAGCAAACTTTTATAAATTTATAATAAGTTTCTTCAAATGAAGAAATGGAAAAAGTCAGGATTACTCACCTGATATAAGAAAAAAGTCTGATGTCATTTATTTTATAGAAATGCAAACCATTAGGGGTGGGAAGGAAGACTTAATTGCTTCAGAATTAAAGTTTTATTTGTATCCTTATAACACAAAAATGTAACAAAAAAGTGTCAAATATTTTTTATTATTTGATGAATTTGAGTGCACAAAAAATAGCTTTCTGAACTGTAACCCTATATATAATTTCTAATTAAAAAAACAATTATATGAAACAGACTTTCACATAGTATGGAAAAACCAATCATTTACTAGATTATTTCTTTTATGGAGAAAAGCATTGCAAGTTTCAGACAACTGGCTTAAAAAACAAACCTTCAGGCCCTGGCCAGTGGGGCTAAGTAGTCAAGAGTCAGCCTGTGCACTGAAGGGTCACAGGTTCGATTCTGGGTTAAGGGCATGCACATGGGTTGCAAGTTCTATCTCTGGGCCTACTCGAGGCACATGCAGGAATCTTTCTAACATCAATTTCCACCCCCCTTCCACTTTCTCTAAAAAGCAATGGGAAGCCGAAACCGGTTTGGCTCAGTGGTAGAGCGTCGGTCTGCGGATTGAAGGGTCCCGGGTTCGATTCCGGTCGAGGGCATGTACCTTGGTTGCGGGCACATCCCCGGTAGGGGGTGTGCAAGAGGCAGCTGGTCGATGTTACTCTCTCACCGACGTTTCTAGCTCTCTATCTCTCTCCCTTCCTCTCTGTAAAAAATCAATAAAATATATTTTTAAAAAAAATAAATAAAAATCAATGGGAAAAATATCCTCAGATCAGGATAAACAAACAAAACAAAAAACTTTCAGAAGATAACTTGTTCTGAGGCAGGGGAAACAAATATACAAATATATATATTCATCCTGCTTCTCATACAATACTTGCTTTCATATAACACTTTCCACAATAACAGAAAAGTTCTGAATAAATGTAAAAAGAGACATATATTCTTCAGAATTACTGTTTACCTTAAGTTTATAAGCTTATAAATTATGAACTACAGAAACTATGGAGCCTTAGGTTTTCATCTTAGTTTCCCCACTCTGACTCAAAAGCTCTGCAATCTTGCTTAAACCACTTTAGTTCTTTAAAAAACAAACTGAAAGAAGGAAAAAAAAAAAATCTTTGAAACTCCTATCAAATGATATGGCCTCTTTAGCTATAAAGGTATATGATTTATGAGAATAAATGTCTTACTTGTTTGGTATCTCAGAGAAGATTTCAGTAACCCACTTTTCCAAAGTATCCAGTGTTTCTTGGGAGGGAGGATGGGAAGAAGACAGGAAAATGCAATTAGATTTTTCACAGATCTTTAGCTATAAATAAAGGAATACTTTAAATTGGGCATTACCTGCCACTTCATAACCAGCAATATCAGGAAAAATAACAATAATTAAGAAAACTTTAAGAAACATATAATTGTGTTAGACTCCTTTATTCCTCCCTAGTAAAGTTAGAAGCACACAGTTAAAAAAAAAAAAAATTGTTTATCATTAAGCTAGTATGAAAAGCCAAGAGATAAGAATATACCAACCTTTAAAAAAAAAAAAAAAAAAAAAAAAAAGCCAAGAGCAGTTTGGCTCAATGGATAGAGCGTTGGCTTGGGGACTAAAAGGTCCCGGGTTCAATTCCGGTCAAGGGCATGTACCTTGGTTGCGGGCATATCCCCAGTAGGGGGTGTGCAGGAGGCAGCTGATCGATGTCTATCTCTCATCGATGTTTCTAACTCTCTATCTCTCTCCCTTCCTCTCTGTACAAAATCAATAAAATATATTAAAAAAAAAAAAAAAAATATATATATATATATATATATATATATATATATATATCAACCATCCTCTAAGGTTCCTCTCAATTAACCCACATTACACTGACCCTTCTTGGCATCTCATCAGTGCTTTTATACTGTATTTATTTTACATTAATTTATACTTGCTTGGTTTTAATCCACAAGTCTTCTTAAATTTCATATATTTATGGCCAAATCATATATATGATTTCTATTTTCTAATTCTTTATTATTTCATAAGAAATTCCAATAAAACAGGAAAGCTAAATGAAAAAGGAAACCTTTAGCTTTATCCCAGTGACTCATAACCATTACTGGATAGTATTAGTTAGTTCTACCAGACACGTTTCACTAATTCTCAAAAGAGATGCCCCAAGATATAAAACACAAAATAAAAATTACACCAATCAAGTTCTGAATTTATTCTATGATACATTATTTATAGAGATATTTAACTCTTAAATAGTATAATAAATGCTACAACTCCAAAATCAATGAGTTTAAATCATAAAAGGTTCTCATCAAATATCTGGGGGTTATTTTAGAAATTTCCAATAAACATTAATATGCTCTTATATTTATCATCATAACAGAAGAGAATGCAAAAGAAACAATACCTAACTGAAGAAAAATGCATGTTCATGACAGATTAGGAAATAATAATAAACTGTTATAAATTAATATTACACATCAAATGAAATTGCCTATTTTAACAAACATTGTAAAATGAATCTAAAGACCCATCTGCAGTTTGAACAAAAGAATCTACTAGAACATATCCATAATTTTACATTGAAGTCAAGTTTAGTATACTAATTTTGATCCTAAATGTACAAATGTGTTATATATAAGTGCCATGTCAGCTCTGATCTGAATTTTGATAATGAAAGAACAAAACTTTATAAAAATATTAGGGTGAAAGGATTAGTGTCTTTTTTTATAAAAAATGTGTAAACTACACAGTATTTCAAAAGGAACAGTTTAGCAGCTGATTGACTTTGAAAAATAGCTGAAGCTGGTTGAAAAGTAAAGAAAACTACTATGATTTCTTTAATGAGCAAAGGTTAACACAAGCTACTGAAGATAATGATTAAAAAAAAAAAGGTAAAGAGTATAGGAATTGATCAGTATTTTAAATTTAAGATACAATCAGCATTACCATAATGGAATTCAATTAATCATGCCATTTTACTGGACCATACAGAGGGATTAAAAGCAGACACCTTCCCCATAAGAGTTTATCATCAATATGGTTTAAATTCAAAATGAGAGATAACAGAGGCAGTAGTTGAATGTGACTTAAAAAAAAATTTATGATCTGTTAGTACATTAGTATAACTCACAGACTAGCTTAGAGATAAGATCTGTCTACAAGAGAAAAAACATTTGCTAATAATCAGATGATTTTGTGCTTCCCTGAGCTTAGCCATTTGCAACATAACTTCTCCAAATTCTGATTTTCTTTAGTTCATAAATAGGATCAGCACTAATATTATTAACAGTGCACTCACTGCAACATTGGTCAAGGCAAACAAATCCAAAAAAAAAAAAGCACTATTTCAGAGTAATTCTAAGGGCCATAGTAGATAATATTACCTTTGGATTGAACCACTAATGTCATGTAATGAGAAGAGTAGTAACGCATCCAGAATTCTCTCAGTCTAGTATATGTATCAATATTATTCCTTTTTGGATCATGTTTGAGAGTCTCAGCATTTCCTGTAAAAACATGAAAAATATTATAGAAATAAAGTTTACTTTGCTCAAAGTCTATATCAATAATGAATGCTCTGCTACTATACAGAATTAATGAAATAACCCAAGTGATTCAAGAATATTGAACCAGTGTTTAATAGTAATATCACTCTAAGACAAAAATTCCCAAGAAACAATTCCGAGATATATTTTAACACATAAGAAATTAATAATCTCCTAGGGGAAATGGTGAACAACATAGACTGATGAACAAGAACAGACCTAGAGGTAAGGAGCCATGGACCTCAAAGGGAGGGAGGGGATAAAAGGGAGAGATCAACCAAAGGACTTATGTGCATACATATGAGCCTAACCAGGGGTCGAGGACAATGGGAGGGTGGGGACATTAGTTGGGAGGGGTGGGGGATTGGAATGGGGGGTTGAGGACAAATATGTGATACCTTAATCAATAAAGAAATTTTTAAAAAAGTAATAATCTCTAGTTAGTAAAACCTTAGAAACAATAATTGCTTTAAACTTCCTTTCTTAATAATTAGTCTACTATGCAAATCAGATTTTCTCTCTGAATTACTTTTATAATATTCTGTATAATTCTTAGAAATAAACCACATAAAGCATGGATGCCATATAAAATGTTTATAACTGTATAAAATACACAGAGAAGCAAAACATTCTTTGAATGAAATGCCATTTCAATCTACTCCAGATTTGGTCAAGAGGATTAATATGAGGCTATAACTGATATAAAACTAAGAAAATGGCACTATTAAAAACAGATACCATTTAAACAGCTTACCAGTCAAACAAAATTAGGTCACAGCTCATAAAGTATTAGAGAAATCATTGCTGAATCTCTGTTGATAAATGGAAAAGTCAAGTTGGGGAAAGAGAACAGATTTTATAATCAGACTAGTGACCCAGTGCATGGATTCCTGCACATTGCAAGGAAATTAATTAGAAGGTGGCTGGTGGGGAGGGTCTGGGTAAGAAAGGCCAGACATGCCCTGGAGCCAACCTCCTGTGGTCCCTCGCCGGCCAGCTGCACCTGGGGTGGCACCACAGCAGAGTGAAGGGGGTCCCTCGGCCTGGCCTGTGGGAATAGGGCTAAAACTGGCTCTGCAACATACCCCGAGGGGCCCCAAAGTGTAAGAGGGCACTCTGCAAAGTTGCTGTCATACAGGGTGTGGAACACAAATGCAAGTGTGCAATAAACCAGATTCAGCCAACAGTGCCCCAGCACCAACAAAACCCATGGCCAAAGGTGGAATCACACAGCCCCGCATGGAATCTGGCTACCTCCACTCTGGTTCTTGGTGCATCACCTGAGAACCACCGCTGCCAAGTCACTGCAGCTTGGCAACTCCTGTGTTGTCTTCCCCCTAGTGTCAATGTGCATCATAGCAACTGGTCGGATGGTCGGACACTTAGCATATTAGACATATATATATCTATATATAAACAGAGGTTCAAATCCCATCACTGTGTGATTTAAGCAAATTAAGTGTCTCCTCTTAGTATGTTTCTTTATCTTTAGAAATGACAATGGTAACCAGCTCATAACACTGTTTCAATGATAGAATGAGATAATTTATGTTGTGTCAGCAGAGTATCTAACACCCACAAAGCATTCACAAAATGTTGGGTGCTATTCTTCATATATTCAATGTCAGAGAACCTAAAATAGGCAATACTACTCTGTATTTGAAAATGTAAAAGTTACCTAGCTACCCTACCTTTATAATTTTCCATTCTTTATCAACTTTTCATATCCTCAATCTTCCTTAACTAGAAAATATGAAATAAGTATTTAGTATCTTACCCCAAAAAAATTTCCCCATAGGATGTCCAGGTCTAGCAAGGCTTCCAAACAACATTTCCTTTCTGTTTGCATCAGAAGGTCTTGCAAGCTGATATTCTGTCAGTTTTAAAGAAACACTTTTAATTAAATGAAATTCTGTAATTACCTTATTATCTGGAAACTCGAGTTTAAAAAACTGGAAGTAAGGACATAACAAAAATTAATCATGTATTATAAAACTGAAGTGGAGAAATCGATGATCTAGGCTAGGCTCTATGACTTAACATATTTATAACGTTAGATAGTCAGTTCACCTTTCTGGAGGTTTTCACTTATTTTCAAATAAAACTAGGTAATTAATGATGTGAAGGTTTAAACTCCAGGATGCTATATCCAAGATTTTACTGAAGAAAATGTTAATAAAAAAAACCTGGATAGTATGGCTCAGTGGTTGAGTGCTCCTCTATGAACCAGGAGATAACAATTTGGTTCCTAGTCAGGGCACACGCCTGGGTTGTAGGCTCAATCCCCTTTGGGGCTGTGCAGGAGGCAGCCAGTTATAATTCCCTCTCATAATTGGTGTTTCTATCTCTCTCTCCCTCTCCCTTCCTCTCTCTGAAATCAATAAAAACATATATTTTAAAAAAGGCTGAAAAAATAAAAATCTACCATCCTTTTATTTCAAATCCATACTGAATTATACATTTAATGGCTTCAGGAATAAACATGACATCTAGTTCAATTTAGCCCTTATTATATAAGAATAAAATGGAGTAATCATAAATATGCTAAATAAAAAACTGGTTCAATAAAGGAAAAAGTGGTAAGACATAAAGTACTTCTCTTACCACTATCAACAGCTTCAACTTCACGGTCAATCGCATCTCTGATCATCAGTGGATGGATGAAGAACTGAGCCCACCTGAAAAACAAAACAAAACTGGCATTTCTGTTTTTGTCCAGCAAAAACATTTCATCAGTCAACATCTCCCTTTTTTATTAAGAAATTTTACTAAGTTGGAGATTTAGTTCATAATCATGTGTGAGAAATCTAAACAATATTCTGCATTTCTTTATACTTAAAGTCTACAAACTACTTTTTTTTATCATGAAATTTAACATCCATGCAGAAAAGTATATAAAATATAAACATACAGACTAATTCATAGCTATAATGCATAACTCAGGTGAGTTTACCACCCCAGGTCAAGAACTAGACCATTGTCAAAACTCCTGAAGCATCCAACACCAATCCTATCCTTAGAGTTAATATTCCAAACGTTATGGTAATCATTTCTCTGCTTTCCTTTATAGTTTTACCACCTTTATGTATTTTAGACCAATGTTTCTTGACTTTTTGTTTTTTCATTATCAACCTGAGCAAGGCTTTACAGAAAATTTCTCCTAATCACTCCATGAAATTTTATTATCACAGATATATGATCTGTCTATATACTGTATGTGTATCTGTGGTTTTATACATAAAAAGCATATAAAGTGCACTTTTTATTCAATCATGTTTACAAATAGTTAAATGAAAATTTTAAGTTAAAAAATTTTTTAAAGGCTATTAGTATTTCACTTAATGTTAAAAATGTAATTGCTATATCAAATTATATATGCATATTAGCATTTATATAATAGCAATGAAATCAGTTTTTAAATTAATTTTTCCAACAAAAGTAAAACAGATAAAAAACTTTCCTATAATATTTAGTAAACTTTTAATTTTTGCTTATCTGAAAAGAAACTTTTTTTTTTTTTACAACTTTATTGAGGTCTACTTCACATACTGTAAAATTTAGTAGGCAGCCATCTTATGAGGGTTAATTTGCATATTACCTCTTTATTATATAGGAGGATATATTTGTAGGAAAGAAACTCCTAGGTAATAGCATACACATACTATATCACTAGATATAGTATGTTCAATATCACTAGATAACACCAAATTTTTTTAAAGTGATTATACTGATTTATACTTGCATCAGCAGTTCCAATTCCTCCATTTCCCCACAATCTCACCCTCATTTGGTACTGTCAGACTTTAAAATTTTTGGTAATATGTAGGATAGTTAAATCTCATGATGGTTTTCATTTATATTTTCCTGATACCTAGTTAGGCTGAACACCATTTCATGTTTATTAATCATTTTAATTTCTTCTTTGGTAAAATGCCTATTTATTGCCTTTTTTTCTATTAGGTGGTACTTTTTCTTATTGACTCTAGAAATATATATAATTATCCATTTACAAATGATAAGTATGTTACATATAATTATACATATAATCTAATAATTAAAACCAATGAGTTATTCTAAATGTAATATTATAAACATATTCTTCCACTTTCTAGTTGTTGCTTTCATACTCTTCATGGTACCTTTTAATAAACATAATGTAAATCATTTTGCCTTCATGTTATATGCTTCTTGTATTTTATTTGGTAATTCTTACTTAAGCTAAATTCATACTTATCTCTAAAATTTTTAGCTGTACCCTTCACTTTTTTGGTCTATAATCCACTTAAACTTGATTTTTTTGTATATGTTATAAGGTAGGGAGTCAATTTTGTTTCTGCCATTATAAAAGCCCAACTGTTTGGAATCATTTCTTTATAAAGCCCTTTCACCATTGCTCTATGCTATCCCTATTAATAATCAAGTGTCCACATATAAGTTGGTTTACTTTCCAGGATATCTACTTTATTCCATCATCTCTTTGCTTACACAATGTCCTAATTACAAAATAAATCTTATTATCTAGATTCTAGTAGGTCAATTCCTGATACCTTGTTATTTTTCCAATTCAAAAGTATCTTGGCTATACTTAGCCCCCTACATTATCTTTTCTTTTTCCTTTATTTTATTTTTTAATTCATTATCCCTCCTATAGTCTCTTCCACCTCCCCTTATTTTCCTCCCCCTGGCAATCACCACACTTATAAATTTTAGAATTAGCTTGTCTATTTAAAAATAAATAAGTCTCAATGTTTCTCTCTCTCTCCATACCTCTCTAAAGTAAAATCTTAAAATTTAAAAAGAAAATTAAAAAGTAAAATAAAGTATACCCTGGCTGGTGTGTCTCACTTGGTTGAGTGTCATCCCATGTACCAAGAGGCTGCTGGTTCGATTCCCAGTCAGAACACATGCCTCGGTTGTAGGCTCGATCCCCAGTAGGGTACAAATAGGAGATAGCCAATCAATGTTTCTCTCTCTTCCCCTTCCTCTCTCTCTAAAATCAATAAAAACATTTTAAAAAATAAAACTAAATAAATCTTGAGAGTTTATGGTTTATAATGTCAACCATAATCTGTACATTAACTGGGGAAAACTGACATCAAACTCCATCCAACTGGCTCTAGAGTCAGAGCTCCTTTTAATTATAGTGCACTGTCCCCTTCTGTCTCCATCTACATGAAAGCTGAAACAAAAAAGCAGGGTGTTGCCTTGTTCAACTTCAGCTGAGAATGTGTGTGTCAGCAACTCAACTTTTTCACAATTTACAAAAATTTTCACATGTCCATGAATGACTGCAAAATAATCATACTGATTTTGGAGTTACAAATAAATTTTAGAGCATAGGTGAATTCTTCACAAATAATGATAATCATTTGAATAAGATTATGTTACTTGGTAATAAATAGTTTTACTTCTTTTCCAATCTGCACACCTTTTATTTCATTTTCTTTTCTAACTTCCCTAGCTCAAATCTCCACTTCAATGTTGACCCAAAGTGGTAATAGCTGACATCTGGATCCTAATCTTGGGGGAAAGTTTTTAATATTTCACTATTACATATGATTTTAGTTGTGGGTTATTTACAGATATTCTTTATCAGGTGGAGAAAATTTCCTTTTATTCCTAGTTTATTAAGTTTTTTATTGTGAAAGAGTGATGGTTTTGTCAAATTTTTTCTATTTATAATGAGATTATATCTTGAAATGTTGAGTCCCACCTTATTATGAGGGGGCTTTTCCTTTAGATACTGCACTTTGTAGTTGTCCTGGGTTTTGATGTTTCAGGCCCTCACCCTGAAATACTTACAGAGTTCAAATTTATTGAAATTAGAAAATACCTAAAGAGCAAAAGTTGTTCCATTCTCATTTACTTACTAGGGTAAAAATTCAATCATTTCCTCAACATTTTTAATTAAATGTCCCAAGAGACTGATAAACAATGTGTGACAGAACTGGGTTTTACTGACCTATTCAAAAATACTGCCACAATCTATATAAGTCATTTGCAAATGATGCAAAGACTTTTTATTCCTTATTAACTGTAGAAGTATACTATTACCATATTTATTATAATATATGTAATACTTAATGCTCTATCACTGTCTACCATTGTGTCATGATCATGATTTGATATTCTTATTAATTTCTCCTATTATTCCAGTAGCATTCTTTTTAGTTCTAGTAGGTTCTTTTTATTTTAAGTAGAACTTATGGTGTAAATATCTTCTGATTTCCTGAATCAGTTCTTAGATTTTAAAAAAATATAGAGAGAACCTATTGAAGAAGAAATGAAACAAGTTCTTTAAATAGACTTTATGCTGTTTCATCATCTCTGAGGTGGTCAGAATTTATTCAGCTTATCTTTTGCCTATTCTTTTTCCCAGTGAAGTGGGTTTTTTCCTTCTTTATATTCAGTCCTATTGCTTAAGATTTCAAGTTGAAAGGATTCAACTCGTCTACTGCTTAAGATTTTGTGAACCATGAGAGCTGAGAACTTTAAGCAAGCATGTAGTCATTCTCAAAGCATCTCTGATTTTCTAAGTTTATAAAGAAAATAATCCTCAGCATCATTTGCACTGCCTTTCTTGATTTCCTTTGTCTCTATTCTTTTGGGGGTTTTTTGGAATTAAATTTTTAATTACATAAACAGAGTATCAAATAAATGTGCTGTGCACATGTTCTTAAGTATAAGATTAAAAACAGCTCTAAAACATTATCAAAACACAGGTAGACTGCCAAATTATAGATTAGTGAAGAAAAACCACCACATTTGTTAAATATTATCAAAGTAATTGTGTCAATTTTAATGGGATTTTTACATTGTTTTAACAAAACAAAACAAAAGTAAATTTGGGGGTCCAAAAACACATAAATATTTATTCCATTGAGAATAATGGCATATGCTTTCAACTTATAGAAATCTACCCAAAAGATTTTTCAAGGTCATATTAATCTCTTATGGCACAAGAAAATTTCTTTAAGAAAACTGGACCTTTGTCATGTTTTAAGTTTTTCTGGTCATTTGTGTTTTGATTTTATGTTTTTCTACAAATAAATATATTAATTAATTCAACCAATACCTCAGTATATACCAAATTGTTGATGCTGGAGATATCTCTACAAAAAATAGATCAATATTTCTACCTTTAAGAGACTTAATTAAATTCAAGATTTATTTTTTTATATTTCAGTCTTACATTTATCTATTATTTTTTAGAGTGACTTTTATTTTAATGTAAATTTATGTCTGCAACCTTGTGATATCAAAACTCTACTAATGCACTGATATAAGCTTTCTCAAAAGCAATTTTGCAGTGAATACCAAACATTTTATAAGAAAATGGCTTAAATATACATGCAAATATACTCCGAAATTTCACTTAAAACTTAGTTAAAAGAAATAATCAAGCCTGTGCACAAAGATTAGGATATTCCTCACAACATTACAAAACTAGAAAACTGGAAACAACTCAACTGTCAGATAATATATAACTGGTTGAGTAGATTATGGTATTTCTACACAATGTAAATGATACACAATCATTTAAGATTATGTTTTATAAACTATATATTTGTAAAAATGATTTATCTTGTTTAAAAACATAAAAGGACATAGTAATATGATCCAACAGAGAAAAAATATATAGATGCTTATATACTAAACATTAATCATGGTTATCTCAAAATTATAAAATTAGGAGCAATCTTCTCTTTTGTGCTTCTGTTTTCCATATTTTCTACTAAATTAGAAAAACTAATATTGCCCAGCTGGCGTGGCTCAGTGGCTGAGTGTCCACCTATAAACCAGGAGGTCACAGTTTGATTCCCTGTCAGGGCACATGCCCAGATTGAGGGCTCGATCCCCAGTGTGGGGAGTGTAGGAGGCAGCCGATCAATGATTTCTCTCATCAATGATGTTTCCCTCTCTCTCTCTCTCTCTCTCTCTCTGTCTTTCTCTCTCTCTCTCTCTCCCTCTCTCTCTCCTCCTTCTCCTCCTCCTCCTCCCATCCTCTTTAAAAATCAATATATATATATATATATATATATATATATATATACACACATGTATATGTATATATGAAAAACAAGTTGTAAGTATAAGTGAGTTTTGTTATCACAAAACTCAAAAGGTATTTAAGGGCTTCAGTTTAATCTTTAATAAAAAGACTAAGTATTACCAAAAATAAGGGGAAAAAGATGTTCTTTTCTCCAAATGAAGTATTGTTGCAATGCTACAGAATTAGAGTACTGCTTAAAAAGAAATACCGTGGAACAATGCCCAATATTTCAATTTGTAAGGTGTGATTATATAATTAAAATAAGAATACATTTTGAGTTAGTTACCTATCCAGGGCTTCCTTGAAGTATTTCCTCTGGACATCAAACTGAAAGACTGTCCGTTCACAATCAGTTGAAGCATTATCACTACCCCCATGTTTCTTCAGAAAAGCATCAAACCCATTCTCATCTGGATATTTCAAACTACCCATGAATACCACTAAGTGAAAAGAACACAAAGTCACACAAAAACAAAGATATAGATAATGTTTATATTATCAAGGAAATTTCTCATGTAAGAAAAAATATTGGAAGAAATAATATCAACACATTAACAATAGTTATGTCTGGATAATAGTTTATTCATTATACTTGTTTTCATAATTTTCTATAATGCTCATATATTAGTTTTACACTCAGAAACTAAACATTTTATTTTTAAAGAAAAAAATACATTTTTTGTGATGTTAAAATTTAAACATAAGCATTTAAGCAGATTGTTAGAATAAAAACTCTTAAGGTGAGAAGTTTACCTTCAAATAACTTAGAAATCCAGAATATAAGAAATGAGTAATTCAGGAAAACAAATATAAACTTAAGTATAACTGTAAAGCAATTACTTACGTTTTAATGAGATTAAACTATTTTCTATTTTGTTTTATAGTAATCATGTATTTTTATTTTCTATATTAATTTTTCTTTTTCTTTTTTAAATTTATTTTCTGTATTTCTGATGCTATGACATCTTGGGGCCTGCCTAACCCAGGAAGAGACTGCGCCTCCCACAGTTCTAGCCTAAATTCCTAGAGACTGGCAACTGTCTCCAGATCTTTTGGCTCAAATAATAATAAGACCTACCTTTTTTTAAAAAGTGTATTTATTGATTTCGGAGAGAGGAAGAGAGAAGAGATAAAAAGATCAATGATAAAAGAGAATCACTGATCAACTATCTCCTGCATGCCTCTCTCACCCCCAACTGGGGCTTAAGCACAAAACCCAGACATGTCCCCTAACCAAGAATTAATCCGTGACTTCTCACCCACACCCGCGGACCTAAAACCTACGTCTTCAAATAGTTTTTCTAAGTTATTTCATTCAAATCCGCAAAACACTAAAGGAGATTAAAATTAAGTCTTCACCTGTGATATTCATAAAGATTTTTTTCTTAGTTTTTTCTCTTGTCAAACATATACTTATATCAAGCCAGTTAGTTATCATTGAAATCAATTCAGACAAATTTAAAGGGGGGAAATACCAGGAATAATATTTTACAAAGATCTTACTGTGCTCCAAAAAGTGTGCCAGCCCAGGCAGGTCATCCGGATCAGCAAAACTCCCAACTCCAACACAAAGAGCCGCCGCAGACTGGAGTAAGCAGAGCACAAACAAATAGTGAGTCAGTACCAAAGGAATAACTTTGTGGTCTCATCTTAAGGATTCACTTGGAGATGGAGTATTCCAATAGAAAGAAACAAAATTTTTTCCCTGATAATCAGGAGGAGCAGCAAAGTGAAACTCTCAGTTTCACCCTGCTGCTCCTCCTCTTGCCACCCTGCCAAATGCTGAACAGATGCAGACCTAAGGGGGAAAGCAGAAACAGAAAAAAAAAGCAAAGAGGGACTGGCCAGCCCACCAAAATATCATTTTGTGCCAGCATTTCAGAATTCTGAGAAAAGTTTTTTCCCTGATTTACTAAATTTCAGAAATCTACACAATAATATACTTAGATTACCTCGAAGATCTTTAAGCAATTAAAGGGCTCTGGGGTCAGTAACTTCTCAATGTTACTCAGAACTCTTTTTTGTATTTATTGTTTTGTTAATCTTCACTCGAGGATATTTTTTCCACTGATTTTTATTTTATTTTTATTTTATTTTATTTTATTTTTTTACAAAATTTTTTTAAAAATATATTTTATTGATTTTTTACAGAGAGGAAGGGAGAGAGATAAGAGAGCTAGAAACGTCGATGAGAGAGAAACATCGACCAGTTGCCTCTTGCACACCCCCTACCGGGGATGTGCCCGCAACCAAGGTACATGCCCTTGACCGGAATTGAACCCGGGACCTTTCAGTCCGCAGACCGACGCTCTACCACTGAGCCAAACCGGTTTCAGCTTCCACTGATTTTTAGAGTGTGAAAGGGCAGGGGGAGCAGAAGAGAGGGAAGGATGGGGAGTAGGGGGGAGACAAATCAATGTAAGAGAGACATATAGACTGGGGCCAGGGATTGAACTTGCAACCCACGTATGTGCTCTTTCTTTTTTTTCTTTTTTTTAAAATATATTTTATTGATTTTTTTTACAGAGAGGAAGAGAGAGGGATAGAGAGCTAGAAACATCGATGAAAGAGAAACATCGACCAGCTGCCTCTTGCACACCCCCTACCGGGGATGTGCCCGCAACCAAGGTACATGCCCTTGACCGGAATCGAACCTGGGACCTTTCAGTCTGCAGACCGACGCTCTATCCACTGAGCCAAACCAGTTTCAGCCGTATGTGCTCTTGACCAGGTATTGAACCCTTCAGTGCATGGGCAGTGCTCTAACCACTGAGCAACTGGCCAGAGTAAAAATTTTTCTTTTTATTAAAATAGGGCATAAAGCTGAAACCAGTTTGGCTCAGTGGATAGAGCGTCGGCCTGCGGACTGGAAGGTCCCAGGTTCGATTCCGGTCAAGGGCATGTGCATTGGTTGCGGGCGCATCCCCGGTGGGGCGTGTGCAGGAGGCAGCTGATCGATGGTTCTCTCTCATCGATGTTTCTGACTCTCTATCCCTATCTCTTCCTCTCTGTGAAAAATCAATAAAATATATTTTTAAAAAAATAAAAATAGGGCATAAAGTAACGTTAGGAAAACATCTAACAAAGACAAAAAGTAAATGGTTAAAAAAGAAAATCTTTAGCTATTAAAATACTACAGAACTGAATTTTAAAGGTTGTTTTTTTGTTTTTTTTTTAGTTCACTTTATTTTTTTCCTTTTTTTTTTAAGGAGAGAAAAAGGAACAACTTTATTGCATGGCTTAATAGGCGAGTGTCAACCTATGAACCAGGAGGTCAGGATTTGATTCCCTGTCAGGGCCCACGCCCAGGTTGTGGGCTCCATTCCTAGTGTGGGGCTTGCAGAAGGTAGCAGATTCTCTCTCATCGATGTTTCTATCTCTCCCTCTTCATTTTTATCCAAATTTAAATAAAGGTCTTAGAGACAGAAGCATGAAGAAAGTGAGACTTTTAAATAGGTTCCTGAGAGTTGGTGTCCATCCGGTTGTACAGGCACCAGTAGTTCACTTCTTATTGAAGTTATAGAAAATACATTACATATCTACTGATAGTAGTTTTCCATAGGTTGGGAAAACTAGAGTTTTTAACAAAATAGATGGTCAAGAGGTACACATTTTAAAAATGACTAGGGTACACCATATGTCATTGTAAGTTAAAAGACACACACACACACACACACAAAAAAAAAAAAAAAAAGGAAAGAAAAGAAAAATACTCCTTTTTAAACCCTTGATGATTGGAAGTTGAATTTATTAACTTTCCCAAATTTTACAAATGTCAATTTTAAGAGCTAACACATTTGGTGACCCAAATTGTTTGGAAAATGGTTACCCTCTTAGGAAGAGAACTTTTAAGAAATACTATGTAACTGATATAAAATCAAACCATGTGCCAGAAAATGAAAAGTATGTTTTCAGAAGAACCAAAATGCCTCACTTGATACTGTTTAATATTTTAAAGAGTTAGGCACATAAACTCAGTTAAAACATAGAGAAATAGCCCCTTTTTCAAGCCACAGTTTAATCTGTTCTGTGATGTTTAATAGATGTCTAACCTGCTTTCAGCTCCAACTACTCCATAAAGATTTCTTATCTCGACCAGCAGGGTGAAAGACATTTTTATATAAGGTGGTTAGACCACAATCAATCTATCAGTCAGTTTTGACCACAGCAAAAACAGACTCTGCAATTGATAGTAAAGAAATTCATACTTGAGAATTAACTTCCCAAGAAATTCATACTTCAGAAATTCATACTTGAGAATTCACTAAAGAAAGCCCTGAACAAACCATAATTCAGTACATAATATACTTAAATTTCAATCTTGTTAACTTTCTCAAACCTTCATCTTAAAAATCAAGAACAACTTCCTTTTGGGAGGAGGAAAATGTAAGGGGACAAAAACACTGACCCAGAAAAGTAGGTCTTTTGGTGCTTTCTCATAAAAGGAGAGAAATCACGTTCAATTACCCATATGAGGACTCTTAGAACTCTACTATCCCTGCTCTTTTTCTTTTTCCAGTCTCTCCAAGGATAACACTCTTTCTTACGCCTCTTTCCAAGGCTAAAAATTATGCAGATCCACTCCATTTTCCATTATTACAATCATGAGATCTTTCCTTTCACTGATGCACCCACTATATCTGAATCAAAACTATTTGATCTCTTCTTCAAACTATATTAGGCTCCTCCATTCTTTTTTAATATCACCCAGAAAATTAACTATCAATATTTTATGAAGGAATGAACCATACTGAGTTCTAAGAAAATAAAGGCAATATCTAAACCATTTTTTAAATGATCATTAGAATCTAACCTTGCTGCTTCTAGAAGTTAAACATTTTGAATTTGATTGACAGAAGCAAAATAAAAAGGAATACCAAAAACACTGCATATACATCCTCTTCTGTCAAAGGGATTCACCATTACTGTATAAATCTAAGGCATTTTACTATGTCTTTTTTTTTTCCTAAATATATTTTATTGATTTTTTTACAGAGAGGAAGAGAGAGGGACAGAGAGTTAGAAACATTGATGAGAGAGAAACATCAATCAGTCGCCTCCTGCACACTCCCCACTGGTGATGTGAGTTTTACTATGTCTTGACAGTAAAATTGACTGGCAGGCAGAAGTGGTTAGGGGCAATCAGGCAGGCAGGCAGGCAGGCAGGCAGGCAGGTGAGCAGTTGGGAGCCAGCAGTCCTGGATTGTGAGAGGGATGTCCCAGATTGGAGAGAGTGAAGACTGGGCTGAGGGACACACCCTCCCTTGTGCATGAATTTCGTGCATCAGGCCTCTAGTTTATTTATAAAGCCCTTAGTAGAGACTATCAAGTGGCATATATATGCATTTTTCCCCCCAGTATTTTGGTTTTCCAAGCTAAAGCCATTTGGCCTATCATGCCATCCCAAAATAGCCATCACTCATAATATGAATAGCAAGGAGCAAATAAGATTCAATCCCTTCACAACTGAGTGAAAGAACTGACACAAAGAACTGACACAATCTTCTTCTTCTTCTTTTTTAATTTATTTTATTGATTTTTTTACAGAGAGAAAGGGAGAGGGATAGAAACATCAATCAGCAGCCTCCTGCACACCCCCCACTGGGGGTGTGCCCGCAACCAAGGTACATGCCCTTGACCAGAATCGGACCTGGGACCTTTCAGTCCACAGGCTGACGCTCTATCCACTGAGCCAAACCGGTTTTGGCACACAATCTTCTTTAAAAAATAATTTTTACAGAAGAATGACTATCAAAGGATTTATTTAAAATCTATCTACTACTTGTACCTCATGCCTTCACATCTTTTGAGGAATGACCATTTTACAATCTAATGGCATCTAGATTTTAGTCTTAGTAACCTGAACTTTAATTTGTTTGTATATGGACTATACCATGTTAAAAGTATTATCAATATTTAAAAAACTAGATTTAACAAACATTTGACCAATTCCATTTTAATGCATACAAAATATGACCCATTAATAGAAGTACTTCCTACTGCAAAAACGAGGCATTTTTAAAAAGTTTCCAAAGATGGAAATTCTCCCTATTAATCCTCTTTATTTATTCACACTAAGATCAACTCCTCGTTTCTATTTCAATTCTTCCAATTTACTTGTAAGTTATCCAGACTTTTGGTGCTTTCCCATAAAAGGAGAGAAATCATGTTCAATTACCCATATGAGGACTCTTAGAACTATACTATCCCTGTTTTTTTTCTTTTTCCAGTCTCTCCAAAGATAATACTCTTTCTTACTCCTCTATCAAAGGCTAAAAATTATGCAGATCCACTCCTCTCAGCATTTGTTTGAAAATATATAATGTGCATAAGTACACATATATTGAAATATTACCAGTGATTACCTCTGCAAATTATGGTTATTTTTTAAAATATTTTTATTAATTTTTGTTTATCTTTTTTTTTAGAGAAAAAGGAGGGAGAGAAACATCAGTGAGAGAGAGAACCATCCATCAGATACGTCTCACACACCCTGACTGACCAGGGACTGAACCAAAACCTGGGTATGGATCAAACAGCAACCTGGATATGTGCTCTGACTGGAATCAACTGAGCCACACTGGCCAGAGCTATATTTTGTCTGTCTTTACTTTCCATGTTTCTGTAAAACATTTGTCACTTTTATAATCAGAGCAAGATGTTTATAAATGTAATCTTTATGCAAAATAGACCTTTGCTGAGGATCAAAAGATACAGACTTCATTTTTGCCATTAAGAAATAAAACATAAGTTCAGAACTTATCCCAAAGAATTTCCAAATTAAAAAAAGATATAATAGACATGAATCACCTGTTTTTCAGTAGTTTTCTTTCTGGCTTCTGCCCTCTCTTCTAATTCTTCCATTTCATTAACTTCAGCATCAAGGTCATTGTTATCATGCTCATCAACATTATCAAACTCATTTTCATCATCAAAGCCCTCTTCATCATCGTCTTCTATTTCAGCTCCAGAATCTTCATCTTCATCATCATCATCATCATCGTCATCATCATCTTCTTCTTCATCATCATCTTCATCATCATCTTCCTCTTCATCTTCATCTTCATCATCTGTTGCATCTCCTGTTTTACCTTCCGTATTACTTAGGTCTGAAATCAAAAGTGCCTGTAAGCCATTTCGTAATTTGATGTATCTAAAACAAAACAAAAAACACATTTGAGTCAGAAAGTCATTAGAATACACCAATACAAGTGATCAGCTTAGCAAAAATTGTCAAAAATTCAAGTACACATAGAAACACCATTTTAAATTAAACTAATCAAAGTGGTTGTTCTGGGAGGGAACCTCAAAAAAGCTTATCAGTTTCTGAGTAGTTGGAAAGAAAGGATGACAGACACTACATTGTATTTTTTACACAGTGGTGGGCAAAAGTAGGTTTACAGTTGTAAGTATGCAAGTTTATTATTGTATTATTATTTATTATTATATTATTTTCCAAATAAATGACTATAAGCCTACTTTTGCCCACCTCTATATACAGTGTACATTTTATATTACCATTTCTATTTTTAAATTTTAAACTATGAAAATATAGTTATTCAAAAACCAAATCTTAGAAGTTAAAATTTTAAAAGTTAAAGCCCCCACTCAGACTACCTTACTATTCTTTCAGTTTGTGAGTATTTAATAAACATTCTACCATACCAGAAGACTTAGGAGAAACATATCCCCCAATGTACGGAGCAGTCATGTAAGCTTAAACATTAGAGCAAAATCTCATATATTTAAACTCTGTTGGTTCCCTTTGATACAATGTATCTGATATTTTATACCAGTCACCAAAGCTGCTTTTATGGACTAAAAATTGAATATAGCTCTAAGAAAACTAAATCCCACAGAGTGATAACCCTGCAGAGAGATGATTATCTATTTTAGTAAAACTGCTATGCCAGTTTGATGATGGGTGCCTACTACAAACTTCTATTTATACTCATTTTTTCGTGTTATTCAATAAGCATTTACTTAGCAGCTTTTAAAAAATATATTTTTATTGATGTCAGAGAAGAAGGAAGAGGGGGAGAGAGAGAGAAACATCAATGATGAGTGAGAATCATCAATCGGCAGCCTCCTGCATGTCCCTACTGGGAATTGAGCCCCCAACTGCATGTGCCCCAACCTGGAAGCCAATCATGACATCCTGGTTAATAGGTTGATGCTCAACCACTGAGCCACATTGGCCAGGCTGCTTAGCAGCTTTTAATGTATTAGATACCATGCTATAGTAAAGGCAAAAAAGAATAAAACCACATTCCTCACCATCAGGTACTCACTGTCCAATACCATGTAATATAATTAAGCCAGTACAATACAATCAGGGAAGGCCTCTGTGACAAGGCACACTTTGAGCCTTGCTGATTAAAAAAAAAAAAAAAAAAAGAAAGAAAGCAAGAAACTGAAAATACTAAGGTACAAAGAAAAGACTTGATTAAGATAGAAGACTAAATACATGGATTTATCTATCTCCTTTCCATATCAAAAATCGCATTTAAATAACCTCAATACTCCAGCTTACTCCTCACCCCCCCACCCAAAACTCATACCTCAAATCTATCCTCAGCAGCCTGAAGCAAGCAGATGAAGTCTGTGATAGGCTACTGTTTCCCCAAAAGTCTTTTATGGAAATCCTAACCTCTAATACCTCAGAATGTGACTGCATTTAAAAATAGGGCCTTTACAGAGATTATTAAAATAACAATAAGGCTATTATAGTGGCCCTAATCTAATCTGTTTTTATAAGAAGAAATTTAGATCCATAGACATAGGACCTGTCCACACACACATGCAAGACCATGTGAGGACACAGCATGAAGGTGGCCATCTCTGTAAGCCACAGAGAGACCTCAGAAGAAACCAAACCTGACACCTTGACCTTAATTTCTAGCCTCCAGAAATGTAAAAAAAACAAAAACAATTTCTGTTGTTTAAGTCACCCAGTGTTATTACAGCCCTAAGGCTCCATACAATGTTCCCCTACTACCTATACATCTTTTCCCACCCCTCTTTATTCACTTTTTGTTGTTGTTCTGACCAAATAACTTTATTGTTGTTGTTTTTTAACATTCCAAAAAGGGCCTTCGTGATTGCTATTCCCTCAGCCCTTGCTCCAGATGAGTACTTGCATGGCTGCTCCATCTCTTTCAAATCTTTGCTGAAATGCCACTTTTCAGAAATGCCTTTTCTAATCATAGTATCTAAGATAGCAACCCAGTCCATCTCTATCCTCTTTTATATTGCTTTAACATTTTCACACCATATATTATCACCTGACTTTTTTCTTGTTCCTGTGTGGGCCTTTAGAATATCAGCTCAAAGGGCAGGGCTTTTCTTTTCCTTCACAAGCACCTAAGACAATGCTTGGTACTTGAGAAACATTTAAGAAACATTTGTTGAATGAACAAAAAATGTTATTGCCTAAAGAGGTCCTTATATATGATAGGTATAATACTTAAAACTAAGTGAAACAAAATATCAACTAAAATCTAATACCTAGCTTCATAAAGATAAATGTTATGAATACACGTGTATACATTAAATGTATATAAAGGTATAGCAAATGAAATACGACACAAACCAAATGTAACAGTAATCCTATATAATAAAAGGCTAATATGTGACACGACCAGTTGTTATGACGTGCACTAACCACCAATGCAGGAGATGCCCCCTGGTGGTCAGTGCACTTCCACAGGGGGAGCACTGCTCAGCCAGAAGCTAGCTCATGGCTGGCCAGTGCAGCAGCAGTAGCAGGAGCCTCTCACACCTCCGTAGCAGTGCTAAGCCATTAGTTGACATTTCCCAAGGGCTCCAGGATGCCAGAGAGATGTCTGTCAGCTTAGGCCCAATCCCCACACCCACACCCACACCCCCCGGGGCTTAAGCCTATAGGTGGCAGACGCTCAATGCAGGAGCTGCCCCCTGGTGGTCAGTAATCTCCCACAGGGGAGCACTGCTCAGCTTCCCCCAGGCTCATGGCAGGCGAGTACAGCAGCAGTGGCCGGAGCCTCTCCTGCCTCCACAGCAGTTGGACAACCCCCAAGGGCTTCCGGACTGGGAGAGGGCATAGGCTGAGCTGAGGGACCCTCCCACATGTCCTCCGACCAGGGATGAACCCACAACCTGGGCGTGTGATCTGACTGGGAGTCAAACCTACCACCTTCCAGTGTACGGGACAGAACAACACTCTAATCAACTGAGCTACACCAAGCCAGGGACCAAGAAATTCTGAAAGGGGACAACAATGAGGGGGAACTGCCTTAACAATTATAAAAAGTCTTTTAAAGCAATTGAAATTAAACGGTCTATGGTACAGGAACACCTCCAGATGAAAAAGAACAGGTTCTAGAAAGGGAGAAATGTTTATAATACTATTTCAACATTTTATTATAATTTAATAAATGATGCTGAAACAAAAGACAATTCACTTAGGGAGAAAAACTAGCCATCTATCTCTACCTTACACTCAACACATAAATAAATCCCAGGTAGATTATAGAGTTAAAAGGAAAAAGTGTTCTAAAAGTATTTAAGAAACAATAGTAATAATACTGGAATAAGAAAATCTGTGCTAAACAAGACACAAAATCCAGAAGCTATAAAGGAAAAAAAAATAGAAAGATTTTGCTACATTCTAATTTAAAACTTCTTTAAAACAAAACATCATAAACAAAATAAAAAATCAAAATGCACACAAAAGACTAACAGGAAACATTCATAAAAGAGAAATATTATAAATCAACCCAAATGTCCACAGGTAGGAAAATATGCAATAAATTATCCTATAGCCACACTATCGCATAATTCAAGATTTCATTTTCATTACAGAGAGAAAATAAGCAACTTGGGTTCTAGCCTTAAATGGCTATTTCTAGGTCTAATGCATAGTGCTCAATCATTTTAGGTCAAAAGATAAGGTGACCAGACGTCTCGATTTTTAACAATTTGTCCCGTGTCCTGCAGCGTTTTTAAAAAGTCCAAAATATTTAAAAGAATCTTTCCAAAAATCGGGATTTTTTTAAAACGCCGCGGGACATGGGACAAATTGTTAAAAATCGGGACTGTCCCGCCAAAAGCAGGACACTGGTCACCTTCCAAAAGAGCATACTTGAAGAGAACAACCAAAGAACTTGTATGCATATATACATAACCCACAGACACAGACAATAGGATGGTGGAAGCCTGGAATGGGTGATAGAGGCGGGCAATGGGGGCTCTATGGGAGAAAAGGGGAGACATATATACTACTTTCAACAATATTTTTTTTTTTTAAAGAGCATACCTGAGGGGCTAACTTTGTAATTATACAACTTGTTATTTTTCCCCAAATCATGTGGTCTCAAACATTTATACATATATATAATAATTTTTGGAAAGGTGAGATTATTCTAAGATGTCAATCTTTCTCTAAAAAAAAAGAAAGAAAGAAACCAAACCTCTTTTCTAACTTATTTAACCTGTCTTCCTTTACTTGGCTTCATTATCCCACTACTCCTGTACTGAAAATGAAAGCTGAAGTCAGTTTTTCAAACCATTTTCAAAACTCAAAAATACAGAATTATTTTCTTTATAATAAAGTAGCTATCCACTCATTTTTGTTATTTAAGAAACCAACTTTTACTTTAGAGCTGGTTTGGCTTAGTGGATAGAGTGTCAGCCTGCGGACTGTCGGGTCCTGGGTTCAATTCCAGTTAAGGGCACATGCCCAGGCTGTGAGTTTGATCCCCAGTAGGGGACATGCAGAAGGCAGCCAATCAATGATTCTCTCATCATTGATGTTTCTATCTCTCTCTCCCTCTCCCTTTCTCTATGAAATAAAAATATATTAAAACAAAAAAACAAAACCCCACAAACTTTTGTGAATCTACTTTCAGTCACTAAAATTACCAGTTAAGAGTTTATGTATTTATATCCAAGTTCAAGTACCGAGACCACCTTGGGGGTTATTTTAACCAAACTGCTAAAATTATTAACATTATGAAGGTTGAGGCATGATGAAAGACTCCACCCTTTAAATTTCCAGTCCTGAATCTATCTACATATTTTTTCAGATAACCCTCTAATTGCCACATGGTTACCCCCTGAATGACTCATGTATATATCCACCTGACATCCCTTACCCAATCACTGGGATGTGAC